AAAGACTTTACGGAAGACTTCCAAAAACTCGACGTTAAGTTTAATTCTTTAAAACGTTGGGCCACGTATGACCCACAACTGTTTCAAATGTTTCTAGTTTTTCATATTCTCTTAACATAAGCGAAACCTCTTCTTTTCGATATTGCCACTGATCTAAACTGGCAATAATAACTTTTCCCATATTTTCGGGGTTTCAAAAATGAAACGTCACAGTTACTAGATGGTATACGTAATCGAGGAAAAATGTAACTTTCAAAATAACTTTTATAGTATCGTTCCAAGTTAGAAGAGTTCAACCCGTCCGAGTGATCTCGGTAGAGCCAAGGTCTGCTCCGCTTATTATCCATTAAGAGTGTTTTTTCCAGGGTTGCGAGGGCCCTAAGAGCGAGCCTAAGTTGCATAGTGTTCCTTTCTTCGAAGAGTTTCGTTCGAGGCTGGCAGAGGCGGTGTACGCGTCGCTACTCGTGTAAAAGATAGCGAACGCGAAGCCAGAGGAGACCCGGAGGAGCCCTCTCTCCAGCAATCAGGGGTGATTACGGGTGTAATTACCGTTACGGCACATTGCTTCGCCACGAGAAGGGATAGGGAACATTGTTTCTTTTCTGGGAAACCGACTGGTTTACTGGGATCGTTCCTTCGCGGTTTTTTCTCGTCGCGAAGCGCGAATCCCCGGCCACGATTCTTTTCCTCGGTTCTGTCAGCCGCTGGCATCCGTCCTCGTTGCCAGGATCGCGTGATTTCTCCTTTGTAACGCGCCAGTGACGTCACCGTGTGTCCACGATATTCGTTATTTTTATTAACCGAGCGATTCTGCCAGGAATACCGATCGTTTTACGGCGAGCCGTCCGTTTTGGCTCGAGCCTCGTTCGTTCCGGAGGAACGTGTACCGTCATCGCGAAACAACTTGCACGTAAATGGCATTTCGCTTTCACGAACCGGGTCTAAGCGTTTTACGACCGTTTGACGATCCACGGTAACCTTAATACTGACCATTTCCACTTGGACTGCCGATGGGACCGATGGCTGTTTTGAATCATCGATAGCTTTTGCAGTGGAAATTTACGTGCTCGCGTCGACCTGTTTCGACGAAAGGTACGAGGACGACACAGGGTTCGTAGGTCACGGACGACAACGTACACGTAGAACTAGCGTGTTACGTAACTATTCCTACTGGGATCAAACTTTTCAAAATTTCCCTGATCTATCGACGATACTTACTCTTTTTACTGTATCAATATTGCTTAAGGTATATATCTATTTGATATCTATTGTTTGTGTTATATCGATACCACGCGAATTGCCTAGAAATGCGCCAACAAACTTACTTGGACATCTGTTTCGCGTCAAAATAGAACATTCGATGTTAGTGGATATATTGGATATTCATCCAATTTGCATCTAATAACATGACCTATCGTTACTGGAAGAGAAGACTCCATGGTTGGAATGCTCCATTAAATAAGAGTTTATGTTAGACTGAAGAATCTAGTTTTCCAAGGAAATTGATTATTATATTTGGCTACCGCTTGTGCCAACATTTGAAAGCTTATGAATACAGTTTAACCAAGAAAGTTTATTGAAAGATTTATCATAGTCTAAAATGAAATGACTATTTTTAAATATAATATTTAGAACGAAAATAATATCTTTATAGTAATTTGCGGACCCCGATAGAGAATCACTAATCTGTATCGTAGCGTGAGCCAACGCCGGAGAACATATGTAGACCAATTATATTTCGTTGTTACGAAGGTACTCTTCCTGTCAGTTATCCAGATTCCAGGGCAACTTTGCGTCGTCTTTGCACTGTTACTCGTTTGGACAAGAATTTATCCACCTGTCTCCCTCAATTACTCTACCGAACGAATGCACTACATTTCGCGCGATTACGCCGCGCTGCGTTTCGAGCGATCAACGCGAGTGACTGATTGGTTCGGCCTTACGCGAACGCGGTACCGCGATTTTCCCTATCTTGCTCTCTTTCCTGCATCTTTGTCGAGGCTCGTAAAAAAGTAAGAACGTTGCCTAGGCTCGTTCTGGGCGTGGCAGTCGACAAAAAGAGCGAGCGAGAGAGAGCGAGAGAGAAAAAGGGAATGGGTTGAAGACGGACAAAAAGGAGGATGAAAGGAGTCAGCGGAGGCAGGGAGGAAGAGAGACGGAACGACGTAAGATCTTGCTTGGTCCGTGACTGGAGGGAATCTCTAGTGGGATAAGATGGACCCCATGGGCCCCGATGGTTGGTTACACGAGGGCCAGGGTTAGCCCTCGGGCAACATTCCCCGGTAATGGTCGGGTTATACCTCGGGTAACACAGGTGCCCTCGGCTACGGAGGGAGAGATCGCAACGAAAGAAGAACTTCGGGCTGACTTACGACTTTCTCGATCACTCGCGGGACGTCTGTGCTCTCCCGACGATTCGCGCCGATTCCGGGGATCGAAAACGGGACGTTCGCGTTTTAACGGGGGGGCACGATCGGCTCGAGGACACCCGGGGAACAACGATACGATCCCCCAAAAAGAAAAAAAGAGAAGACTGTTTTTTCTTTCTCGCGGGGGAGGAGGTGGGACGTGGTAATTCGAGGCACATTTTTCGTGGCTTTCGGCCGCTCACAATGCCCTCTGAACTTTTCTTTTTAATGACTCTGCTGACTCTTGCCGGGGCCACAAGAAATACGATGTTCTGACCTTCTTAGGTCGCCACCCCCAACCTTCTTCTCCCGTCCGCCTTAACCTTCCTTCTTCTCCTTCATCTTTCTTTTCGTTCGTCCTTCTCTACTTATTCTTTTTCGTCGTCTACCCCTACTCCTCCTCCTCCTCCTTCTCTTCTTCTTCTTCTTCCTCTGCTTTTGCTTCCCTCGGTGATTCGTCCTTCCTCTCTTCTTCTTTCACGTCCGAAGGAAGAGGCAGCGGAAAAGAAAGCGGAGAGACGTCGGCGAGGCCCGGGTTGGGCCTCTTCACCACGGAGAGTGCATTACATCCCCCCGGCTCCTTCTTCTTTCATCCTTGGCCGGCTCCACCGCGGAATGTGGCTCGATCCGCTCCTTCGTGTCTGAAAGGCAGCATGCCACACGTGGCACCGGACGTCGACGAGGCGGACGGCTCGGTGTATCTCGGGCAAATCGAAATATGCTAAATACAGGGTGTCCGAGAATCCTCGACTCCTACTTGCTCCGAGGAAGAGGAGCAGAGGGAAAAAGGAGAGGCAGGGGTGGGGGGAGGACGAAAGGGAGACAAAGAAGAACGGAGAAGAATCGAGGCGCGGCTCCTTCGAACACGAACGACACTACCCGGACCGGCTTCATGACGTGGAGTTTTACCGAGGAGCAGATGTTTGAAACCTAACCTATAATGATTCTCCGATGTACATACAAAACGCCCGGGTATATACTCGTACGGTTTATGATTCTGCCGATGAAAGAGCATGACGATAACATGTTTCGTGGCGGCCGCGCCGATAATGCTGGTTCTAAACGGGACGAACAGTTTTGGCCAGTGACACCCGTCGCATCTTTTACAAGTTCTCTGAAAACTCTTTTTTGCAAATGGTTCTGCAAAACGATCATCACCGCGGTTGATCGTTGAAAAGCACGATTCTACAAGCTGATCGCCAGAGATTTAAAAAATTCGGTGGTTGGAAGCTTTTGTCGTGACAAGTGGTACTTTGATCGATAAACAAGTTTAGAGGATAAGAGGAACCAATGAAACTGATCTCAAAATAAAGTAAATTTCAAACGCTTCTACAACTTTGAGAACAATTATACGGATGATGTAACTTTCAAACATTGAGAATATTTTATTGAACAATAGTACAATTATATTATATCGTGAATCAGGTTTTCCATATCTAAATAGAAAAAGAAAACGTAAAACACCAGGAGAGAAGAAGTTCTGTTGTAGTACAAAGTCACAAAGTTGCCTCCTCGTTGAGTGAATTTTATCGTTTAAAATTATAAAAAAGATGGACTTGTACAATTAAAAAATAAAAAACGGCTCGTACGTATAGAGATAATTTGGCGAGCATCGTCTCTTGTTATCGTTTGGACCTAAGGTTAAAGTTTGCCGACCATTGACCTACGGTGGCCGAGTTCCAAGGCCCAAAGTCGCGTTACCCGTAACGTTTTCCAGGGGCTACGACCCTGCGTCTATGATCCCCGAGTGCGAAGGGGCCCAGTTCCAGGTTCCAGATCGAGTTCCAGTTCGGAAAGCGCGTCGCGTTGTCGCGCCATGAGGGTCTGGGACCCGAGTGTCTGGCCCCATGTGGGCAGGACAGGTTTGGGGGCCCTCTCATTCACGAACATCTCCTCGCCGACAAGCTCTTTCATTGTTTCGCTCGTTTAGGGGTATCGGCATTTCGGACCATCAGCCGTGCAAAAAGTCGAGCGATGAGAATGGATCTCCGAGCTCCACGCAACGACCATATCAGGGCACCGTGAATGCGTATGTGCGGGCCCTTGTACGGGCCCATTTGGCCCGACCGAAGCCCCCGAATATCGCGGGCCCGCCGTTCCGAGCAGCTTGTATTTGCTCCGCGATTATAATAAAGGAACACCGTCGCTACCGATAAAATTAATTTGTCAGCCGACAGGGACGACCGGAAACCCTCGGGTTCTCGAAACTGGACGTCGCTGAAGAAATCAACGAGAATGCCTCGTGCAAACCTAACCAGTCATCTCTGTTCAATCTCGTTTCCAAAATTATTGTTGCTTCTATTCGGTGGATACAGAAAGAAAATTTGTTACGTATAATATATTTTATGCAAACGTTTGATAAAATTTCTGTTTAGTTTCGGTAAGTAATATTATTAAATAGACAATGTCGGAAGAATGATAGCAATTTTTCATAGTTGGGTATCCAGATGGAAATATCAATCAAAATGAAATGAATTATTTAAAAAATAAAGTTTTTCGGATGAACGTTCAGAAAAATTTCTTTTCGAACGTTGATAAATATCACGAGTATAATTTAATAAATATTAATTATCGTATGTTTTAATGTTCCAGATGGCGAGTACCTTTTCGTCGATCCCGAGAATAAATTAAGCAAATACGCTCCGAAGAACTGGCGAAGTTCTCATACATACGTAAGTGGCTAATCTTACGCTGACATATTCATTATAAACGTTCCAGTAGGCCGCTATAATAACATATTAGAAACAAATTTGCTTCAATGCACGCGATCGATGTTTCGTGTCACTTTTATTTTGATAGCGCGTTACGACGAAATACACGGCGAAAAATGTAAAGAATACGATAACTCGATTGCCGATTCCGCGCGTCATCAACTAAATTTGACACGTTCTTACTATGAAATTACACGCCAACATCAAAAACGAAGTTGGTCTCAAACTGGAGAAAAAAATCAGTTCTTCAAAGTTGTTTCTGCAAAATTGTTTTTCAGAATGAAATTTTTAGCTCGGTTATAAAAATTTTGACAATCTGTTTCGATGTTAGTCTTATTTCTCAACTTTGTTATTTGTTATCGAATGACCTTAAATTATAAGTAATATAACTATTTTATGAAGAATATAGAAGTATAAGGTGTCATTTAAAAAAAATGAAGGCGATCTTATAATTTTCAAAATCCCTTTATCAGTAAAAAAATTATTACTGTTGCATTACGATCCCCTTCAGACCATACAACTTTTGTTAAGTTTTTCTGTATCCCTAAAAATAACTGAGATTAAAATTATTGCCCGACTCGCGTGCTTGATTTTGCCCTCGCGAGTCACGACAAAATTACGTTACTTTCGTGCAGAATGTTTGCAACAGCCGCTCGAATGAAAGACCGTTTTACGATGCTATTGACAAACATAATATATGACGAATCGACGTGACAGCATTCACTGAATCGACGACTATTAAAGAAGAATGCAACAAATGGACGCGAGGAGCTCGAAAGGTTCGCGCGGTCCTCCATGTTCGCCGGGCAATAAATTTTACTACAAAACGACAATCATTAATCACCGTATTGAATACGTTTTATCGCGATCGGATCCATTCGATCGACTCGGAGATTATTTTTAATATTCATGCGAACTTATGAAATTTTAATTGTACGCCGTATCGATCATCCGCGTCGGCTCCCCGCCGTAAAGTATCGAATATTTCTTGGTAATATTAACCTCGCGCACGGCAATGACATACGTTTTACCACGGATACGCATATAATGCCCGCGAATTGGTTTGTGCTCGAACGGTACGTTTCGCCGCGAGGAATCGAGAAAAAGACGATTTCGGTGCAAAAGAAAGAAGCACGCTCGCGGCGAAAGGAGAAGGGTGCGTAGAAGGCCCTCTTCGGTCAAATTAGCATTTCCATCCGTGGGTGCACGATGACGGCCGTGGTTTTGCCCGGAGGGTAGCGCTAAACGAGCGTACAACAGCAGTCCTCTTCAAGACGAGTAGCTTCGCAATATACAGCGTTGTCGCTATAAAAGCGAAACTGATGTCTGCGTTAAGTGCAAAAATTTTATCCCCACTACTAGGGGGGGATCCCCCCTCGGAACCAGCCACGCGAGTTATTTAACACGCCGACGGGTCGTCGAGCCGCTCGACGGTGACTAAAAAATAAAAAATAAAAAAGAAAGATATTTTCATATCGTTGACTTTTTCTTGATGCAAACATTACTATCATACTCGTTGGATTCTTCCGATTCAAACGAGACTAAACACGATGCAATTCGAATCGTACGCGTTTAGCAGAGCGTTATACAAAAAAAAAAATTAAATTCTACCGTTGTTTATAAGCAATATGGTGGACCACCTCGACCCACAGTAACTCTTTTATTTTTTTCTTTCGCTCACTGTCCTTTTCTGCGTTCGTCGACGCTACCGTGAAGAGGCCGGGACTGCCTCTGTCTTTTTCTTTTACTCAAACTCATCGGTGTCCCTTTCTACGCGCGGAATGACCGAAGAAAGTGTCGACCAAAGGGTACCGAATTTCGCGTCTATGACTCGATAAATGCGAACGGGTCTTGTTTTTATCGTGACGATATTGTACCCTGGTAATTCGTCGTCGTCACCACCGGATACCAGTGGTACTTCAAGTTCTCTGTCCAGAGCCCAGACTGATTGCAAGCCCTGCTACTGTTTATCGTCCGAGCAATTTATATTTTACATAAATCCTTTAATCTAATACGGTAATATCACATTTTATCAGGCTATTTTTCAATCAATTTAATTTTAAGAGTAAAAAAGAAATAGAATAGTAGAAAGTATAGAGCTTTCTAATAAAAGCACTTTCATAGTTTCCACCTTTCAAAATCATACGATCTTTATAGGAAGCAGTGCTTTTCTCGATCAATTCGAACTAGAGATTCCGTATTATCCGAGGTGCTTTGAACTTTATAAAGTATTAAGACATCTGTTGACTGTAATAGAAGAGAATTAAATAATTTAGTAATTGAACTTAAATGCATACGTGCAATATTGCACTATCGAAACGTTTTTCATAATGTTGTTTCACGATTTATGAACACCCATCCGTATCAACCGAGTTTTCAATTATCGAAGGTAGCCTCGAATAATCGAGATTCTGCCGTATTAAAAATGCGAGTAAAACGTTGGAGGGGGCCCGGTATGGCTAGGGAACGACACCGGCGATTCGAAGCTTTTCCCCGATGGCGAAGGCTCTCGAGCCGCAGGAATTTGTCAACTCCGCAGAATGCGTACCGATCGTCGGACACCAGGACTCGAGCGGCTGAAATTGCGAATGGGACCTCTTCGGCGGGCCCCGAGAGAGACAGAGCGTGCCGCCTCGTGCGATATCTTTGTATCTGCTCGGAGCGGTGGGACCCCCGTTTCGCTAATGACGGTCCACACCAATAACCAATAAATACTGGCCCGGTAAAACCGGGCTACCGGACTACGTGCTTATCTCGGGGGAACATCGGCCGCGAAGATTTTCTGCAACCGTGCGAGAGGTCTTCGGCTATTAAAACTGGGCCCCTCCCCTATCGGCGCTTTCTTAGTCCTCCCCACTTTCTATGGGGCCTCTTTCGCATTCCCCCTTACCATCCCCACCCCCGGCCACCTTTCTCTTCCTGCCCACGGGGTTTCGCGAACGCGCGGCGCGCGCACACCGCGCGGAATTTCGTTAGCGGACCACAGCCGGCGTTAACAACGAAGCGTAATCGATTGACCGGGACTCTGGGCCTTTTTCAAGCGTATACGCACCGACGATGGAATGCGACGCGTACGTAGTAGCCCGTCCAGGCTACCGCGTCACACTTTCGATTTCCATTCCATCGACGCCAAGAGTCGTTTCTCAAAATACCCCCTACGCGTCCACCCTTTCCTAAACGCTTCACGAAAGGGAGGAAAAATTCTAACATTATTGGAAAAACTATCTATGCTCCACGACGCGGTTTAACCGTTGGTAAAAATTTCCCTGTCGATTTTTCTTAAAAATTCGTTTTTGAGTTTTAGTAATTTTGCTTGACGTTGTACAGAAAAGTTGTTTAATACTTTTTTTGTGGGTGTCCATGAGCTCTACTTCCTCCCAAAATTTCAATGAAGTATATTCACTATTGTAGAAGTTATGGTTGTTTGAAAATTGGACCACTATTATGGGGGTTTTCTCACTTTATGGGGTTAAAGATCAATTTTCTGAACATTATTAGAATTTCTACATATTCTTCTCAAAAATATGCGTTGTTTGCTTTTTGAAACATTAAAATCCTCCAATCCTTTCAAGAGTTATAATTTTTTAAAGATACTCATGAAATTTCAGGGGAATCAGGCATTGGTCAGACATGGTCAGACGTTGTATTTTCAGTAAGGAATTTTTTTTCTCGAAAGTGCGTAGGATTTCGGGAGTATGTCTATTGACCAAAAATGATTGTAATTGATCCCTGTAACTAAAAATATTTTTTTTTAAACGATTTGGAATTTTTTAATTTTGTCGAAAAATTTCACACCTATTCGAATTTTTTTCTCGTAAGTGGGTAGGATTTCGGGGGTATGTCTATTGACCAAAAATGATTGCAATTGATCCCTCCAACTAAAAATAATTTTTTTAAAACGATTTGAAATTTTTTAATTTTGTCGAAAAATTTCACACCTATTCGAATTTTTTTCTCGTAAATGAGTAGAAATTCGGGGGTATGTCTATTCACCAAAAAAGATTGCAACTGATCCCTGCAACTAAAATCAATTTTTTTAAAACGATTTGAAATTTTTTAATTTTGTCGAAAAATTTCACACCTATTCGAATTTTTTTCTCGTAAGTGGGTAGGATTTCGGGGGTATGTCTATTGACCAAAAATGATTGCAATTGATCCCTCCAACTAAAAATAATTTTTTTAAAACGATTTGAAATTTTTTAATTTTGTCGAAAAATTTCACACCTATTCGAATTTTTTTCTCGTAAATGAGTAGGAATTCGGGGGTGTGTCTACTGACCAAAAATGATTGTATTTGATCCCTGCAATTAAAAATAATTTTTTTAAAACGATTTGAAATTTTTTAATTTTATCGAAAAATTTCACACCTTCTCGAATTTTTTTCTCGTAAGTGGGTAGGATTTTTAAGGTATGTCTATTGACAAAAAATGATTGTAATTGATCCCTGCAATTAAAAATAATTTTTTTAAAACGATTTGAAATTTTTTAATTTTATCGAAAAATTTCACACCTATTCGGATTTTTTTCTCGAAAGTGGGTAGAAATTCGAGGGTATATCTATTGACCAAAAATGATTGTATTTGATCCGTGCAATCAAAAATAATTTTTTTAAAACGATTTGAAATTTTTTAATTTTGGCGAAAAATTTAACAGCTATTCGAATTTTTTTCTCGTAAGTGGGTAGGATTTCGGGGTTATGTCTATTGACCAAAAATGATTGTAATTGACCCCTGCAGTCGTAAATAATTTTTTTAGAATGATTTGAAATTTTTTAATAACTTTTTAAGGAAGCCTGAATCAAGTATTTGATATTCTTGATTTTAGTCTTATTTTGGCCACTAGAATCTCTCATCGAGCATATGTCGAAAGGGGACACGTTGTTAAAGAATATACTATAGTTAAAAATGATATATTCGTGTGATTGATGCGCTTATAAAATCGTCTAAAATTTACTAAATGTTAAAAATGTCCATCGTGGACTTATAAGCATTTATTTGCCCTTAGAAATGATTTTATTTGACAAAATTTCCAGCAACCAGCGTGCAAAATGGCCGCTCGCGTCGCAGGGGGACCAGCAGTTAATGTCGTTTCTTTAATGACACCTGCATCTAATATAAAAAATGGATGTTTTGAATACTGTTGCTTTCGAGAAATAATTGAGAAACACGCGCGTAAAGCGTCGTGGAATTGTTTTTCAGTTGGAATAGACATGGAACGATCCCGTAACGTTATTCTTCGAACGTTCGTTTGCATATTGCGCGATGAAAAAGAAAAGGGTGATTGAGATATTGTTTGAAATAGCAGGCGCGTTATGATGTATAGCGTTGCTTACTAATGGACAAGATTTATCGATGCGTCCATGCACGCACTATATCCAGCCGAGAATGCTGTAGAAATACGTATAAGTGGGCGATTACCGTTCTCCCCGATATCTTTCACAAAGTGGCAACGCGTCAGGCGCCAAGTAACGGCAGTAGTCAACATCAACAATACATTCCTGAGAAGCTACCTAAAGGATCACGGCTCGTACAAACGTGTCGTCGATTTCACGCTGTCTGTTACAAACCGTACGTTGCTCTTGGTGAAAGGTTGCAACGTCCCGGCCAACCGTATCCGTATCCATTTTGAAAAGCAATTCGTTCCCGACGTCCGACTCTTGACGTCGAATTTTACAGCTGTTGCTCGAGGTTGTCTCACCGGGGTTCGAAATCAACGACAGGTTCGAGTCTCGGGTAACCACGAGCCCGAGAAACTAAATGTTACACGTTCCTGCGAGAGGATCGCGGAGAACGCGGAAATCACCGAGATATTTCGTAACTGCTCTAAAGAGCGCCATATTGCGTTCCCAACATTCTTTCCTCGACGTCGTGATCGGCGAATCGAGAGCAAACGTTAAAAAATTTATCAAGAGTCTTCTTTTTCCTCGGAGAACGACGCGTGTTCCATTAATATATTCCTTAGATGCAAAAATAATTGGACAAGTTGCGCAACATCCGTAGCGATACTGAATTTATAGCCGTCGAACCGAGAAAAATAGTCGAGCGTATTAAATATAGTTCGAGTGTTATTTATCGACGGTGATTTTTCTGAAATTCTATTCGCGGTGTATGCGAGCCATTCGTGCGAGATATGTGCATGCGTTTTAAATAAATCTTACGCAACCGTTGCGTGCTGTTTGAAGTTTAATAGTGTGTTTGCGAGGTCGTTAAATACGCAGGAACAACAGAATCGAGAGGAGGTAGAACGAGACTGGTAACCATAACCCAGCAGTTTGCGTGTACTATGTAACGCGTGAATCGTAAATATGTAAATGATATTTCTTTTTTTTTTTCTTTTTTTGCTAAAGATTCTTCTTTATCCGTCGGGGATCGGTAGAGTGGAGCGAATACGGTCGCGATTGACAGAGATCTATCAGCGCGATGATCAGCGTACACCTGCTCCGATAGCAAGCTAGATAGGCGTCGTCTACATTCCGATAGTACAGGCACCAACCGTGGTACACGTAACCAGTAGGTCTACACCGTACACGTATGTAAATTCACGGGTGTTTGTTCCGGACTCTCGATTTTAGCGGCGACTATAGCCGCGGGCCGTCCATGAACGACCAGGATAGAAGGACGAGGGACAGAAGTGGGAAGATGGAGAGGCATACACCGAGCTGGATTAATATTTATGGTTCGTAAAATATGCGGATGGGCCCGACGGTATAATTTGCTACGATTTAACTGGAGGGTCTAGGTCTAGACGCAACCGAGAGAAACCCTTCTCGGTTTAATTTTCGGCTACCGAATTTGGACCCGGCTTCGTTATTGGTACCTGTCTCTCCTCGTTCTTTCTTCGCTCCAATCTTCGGTCTTCTGTCCCCTGCCGTTCCCCCCTCGATTTTTCTCTTTTTTTAATACCTTTCGTCTCTGATGATCTATCGACCATTCCGTACACGCTCGAACAGCCCCGGTATCCCGCGTTTCCTTCCAGTTTCTATCGGCGAAACCCTCAGAATCCTTTTGATTGCTCGATTTAAATAGAATGCCTGCCCTACCATCGAGATAGATCGCGGCGATAATGGCGGGAAGAAATAAAATTAGATCTGGATCGACGTTCCCGTCGAAGGCTTTTCGCGTAATCGACCATCGGCTACGTGATTCGTTTTAATTCCATGTGCGCCTTTTATGGTCGAACGCGTTCGGCCTACCGGCGTAATGAAACAGGTTAATTTCGCTAAAAAGTGTCTACCTTGCGGAAGAGCATGATCGCTACACGGGATCCGTAGAAACTGTTTCAAAGTATTTAGAAAGGATATTACAAAAACAGTGTTTACTGTTTAAAGTTTATATATTTTCGATTTCGGTTTTGGGGTTCCATTAAAAATCGCTACGCGCGTTCCGGGCGACCCGAACGTATTTATCTCTCGATAACGCTGACAGCGAAATATTAAAGATATTAAAAAAGTCGTCCTGTCAGGTTTCACCGAACCCAACAGATGGTCTCGTTATCGATCTTCGGATCTACCAGTCCCGAGTTTCACGGAGCGGAGGATCCTCCAGTCGAATTTAGTCCCGATTCCCGGTGGAACGCGTGTAGCTACCGTGCTTGAGCGCGCGTGGGTCGTGAGACGCGTGGGCGTATTCACGGTTTGGTGGTTTCGCCCACGTTGGCGGTTTTTCTTTCGTCGCGGTAGCGGCCGCGGAGGCTGCCCGAAGTTAACGTTCGTGGAATCGTCCGTAACGGAGTAAATCCGAGCCTCGATCAGCCAGGATTTATGCCCCTCGCGGGTCTCGATTGTTAATAAAACGCGCGCGATATCGGGTGTTATCGATTCGACGACAGGAATAATGCGTACGCGCGCCTTTGTTCGATTTAGTTGATCGACGGGGTCGCGTTACTTATTCTAGTCGTCCAGAGAACAATCCGATTATTAAAACAGTTCATTGTCTCGGAATCTCGTGCAACGAGGGGCGCTAGTGACCGCCGGATGCGATCGATGCTAATCCGGACAAAATAACGGACGTTGATGTTACTTTGAGGTATTGTTAGCTCCCGATTAGCGAAAACAGGTGCTTAGAATCGATTCACGAGAACGTTTTTAATAATACGACGATATTTCTGGAAGAACATCATGGTATGCCAAAAGTTCCTTTAATCTATAAATATATGTATGTTATCAGAGTTTATGAAAATTGTTGGTTTTTCTCTTCTGAAAGAGAAACCATCGACGCGTATATTGCATTTCGCGTTTCGAGATACAAGTCAAGGGGTGCAGCTGTGCCCCTTCCTTGGCTTGTTTGGACAAAGTATAGGACCGATTGGGTCTAAGGATACGGGATGTTTCTTTCAAACCGTGCAGACGTACCTTCCAAGAGTTTCTAATAAAGCTTAGTTAAAAGTTATATCGTCCTAATTGTTCTTTTTATTCCACCACCTATTTTCAATATTACTTGATCGAGGTGAAAACGAATCGTACGAGAACAGTATGCTTTCCTCGGTGTTGTTTTTATCGCGAATACAAGAAACTATTAATTATTATTTAAATAGAAAAGTGTCGTGTAAGAGGTTTAGGTACCTTTATCATTTTAATTTGTCCAAAATTGTACACTGTTAATATTGCACACACGTTGATGGGTGTGGTTATAGTGTAGGTCTTACATACGAATTTCAGAAAACCCTGGACCTAATTCAGACCCTAGATTTTATAAATCTATATTTCAATTTCTGATTTATACTATGGTCGGAGTTCGTTGTCGCCATAAATGTTTTTTATGGTGATAGTAGGAACCCAAATATTTACGATAAATATAAATAGGAGAAAACAGAAAATACTTAAATTTAAATAAGAAATTTAAAGAAATAAGAATATTAAATTTAAACGAATTTTAACTGTATCGTACTTTGATTTGCAGGGATTGGACAGCAGCGGACGGCCAGCTTTCGTCCTTTACTTTCGAATTCGTTATTACGTCGACACACCGTTGCTCTTAAGGTAAGCCATTAACCCCGAGCTCAATTTTTACGGGCTCGAAAATATTTAAAATATTTATACGTGGGAATAGATTGGGAATAAAGCTGAAACTATGCTAGTTTTATTTACAGTGATCGTAGAGTACGTATGTATGTACGTTTGCTAGAAAATAAATCGTAAGGTGGGGGGGTTGACAGGTTTGTTAAATATTCGACTGAGATTTTCCGTATAAATTACACGCAGTGTTTCGTGCAATTGGTAGAGAGAAACGTGAAAAGTAGATACTTTAACATCGATATTCCGTTCGTCGTCGCGATCGGGGTGAATTCGTTCCCTGCGGGCTCTTAAAAGCAGAAAAAGTCCACCGACGAATCCGCGATCGAATCGTAAGCGCGAATAAAAACTCCGGTAGTCGGATCGAGCCCACTGGCTGACAAATTATTCACTCGAAAGAGGCTGGCCTCTCGTAGGAAGCTAAATTAGTCGAGGACGCTCCGGCCATCGGACGGGCCCCCAAATGGATTGCAGAATTAATCGGAGTAATTAGCGTTCCGCTTCAAATGCTCCCTTGCGCCACCTTATCCGGCCAAACTGCCAAACCCGCGTAGCCTACCAGGGCCCCGCCTTTTGCCCTTTTTTTTTTTTTCTTCTTTCTTCCTAGTCGCGGCGTATCGCGATTATAAGGGTTCCTGGCTCGCCCCGAGGACCGAGAAGGATGGACAGTCGAAGAAAGGAAAGAGGGATTATAGCTACGGCGAGAGTGAAACGAAACGAAAGAGTTTGACAGTGTTGTGCACATGTGTTGCAACGCGTTCGTAAGCCTGACGGGCGCGAGGGAGATAGATCGCTATGGCTGGCCCGGGGACCGACGAGGATAGAGAAACAGGGAGCGACTGGAACGAAGGACGTCCAAAGGGTGGCTGGGCTTTGGCTCCCTGGATCTCCCTTCACGAAACGAAATCTCGACTCCTGTCCGGTAGCTAAGTGCTACCTACTCGTGTAATTATAAATTATTACGTGGCGCGTGATAGATAGACCGTGTGCATTAAATGAAAGCACTCGTCCCGGTAATTATACTGATACGTAGTTGCTTTCTGATTTCCACCCGAAACCCGTGATTCGCATCGGACCCCGCAGCATTCACCACACGTTCACGTCGACGAGGATTTAATTCGTGAAAGGACCCACGGCTGGACCAGCCGCCCGAATATCCGACTCGATTCTCTCTTGGCTCATTTTCCCGTTCCCCGTTCTTCGTTTTATACACGCGCGTCGCACAGTGGGCCAAACGACGTGCTTTTCGACGGGCAAAAATCAAAGAACTTTTCACGGAAATTAGACGGAGCAATGAATTTTGTAGAATTCGGGATTGGTATTTTAACCTTTGAAAATCAACGTTAAACTTGAAATATTCCAATAAAATTACACTTTTTTCTCGACGCGTTATACATCGTATCCCATAAATTTTGAACACGATAAAAGTGAAAATAACGAAGTATTCGAACGTTTCGCTACGTAGGTGGACATTTTTTTAGAGAAACGATTAGACGCTTAAAATCTAATTTAAAATTTCCATAGAAAATTGATTTACAGAGGCAACGGAAGCGACAGAATCGGGAATGTGAGACGCAAAATGCAGCGTTCGCGCCGTTGGCTAGGCGGTTTCGTAATCGCGTCGTGTTGTTTCGCAGATTTATGGGGTTAGTTTCTATTGCTATGCGTGGTGCGTGCGAACTGTATCGAACGTGACTGTGCGAAGCTCACGTGGCCTGAACAGGTAGAAACGCGTCTCGCTTATCATTACGCAAAGTTGCATGACTATGTGTCTTTCGATGCATGTTGCTGCGGGATAAGCCCGGTCGTCCAAAGGCGTATCTGCAACGTAGCACAGCCAGAACCTGTGCTGTCGTTCGAGGATCGTTGTCTCGCGATCTGTAACTTTTTCTTACTCTTTATTGCAACTATTTGTTCCCAGCGCACACGCTCCATTCCCATGAGGATTAATAACGAAATCGTGATTCGTTAACGAGGAACATTGCACTCAACATTATATTCGAATAATATATAACCATTAACCCGCTAGATTCGTTCAACGCTTCTACAATATAGTTATACTGCATTCTGACAATATCTGAGGAATCATCTCATGTACAAGGCACAGAAAGTGCTAGTATAATTAATGTTGACATTGAAAATATCGTTAAAAGGAATTAACATTTACATTCACCCTGTTTCAAATTTTCTATCTTCGTTTCTGTAGGTTGATCGTCGATAATTAACGTTTTACTATATTTTGATTTTACCAGCGAAACTAATGAAGAGAATGGCGATTGTGCACCACTTGTTCATATCGTTCGAGAGTGGCCATTAAAACGAATTCAATACGATGTGGTAATAGTGCCGGAACTCTGGGGACCAGGCTCCTTGCTCAACCATAATTCCAATACGTATTAGGTTCTCGTTATTAGTTTTTATTCCTCGCCACGCGTCACCTTGAATATTATTATGTCACACCTTGATAAATTCGTTTTGGCAGCAGCTTTCACGCGATATAAACAAACCAATGCAAGCTATCAAGGTCACCTTCGTATTCTGAAGCATATTGCAACATCTGAAAATTGACAGGAACCATCCAACCCGTAAAAGGCAACGAAACCTTTACCTCTTCCATTTTTCCTTTTAGCAAAACTTTCAAATCGCGACATTTTCAAGAGACTCGCTGATTTGGAAATCCTGCAAAATTATACCAACAGTTTCGCTAGGAGTCCTCCATTCTTAACGATTACGGTATTAAGTCACTGTTGACTCTTTACCTCGGGATTACCGCGTTTGGAATGCGTCAATTCAACAGGATGGGAAACTCTTGAGCAATTCATTCTCTGAGAATTTCCTATTACATATGATTTTGTAAATACGTTACGATATTCCGACACTTTCTACTCTTAGCTGGAATCCAGGGTCACGCGTACCTCTTTAAAAGTTCTACGTTAATTATTAAAATTACCCGAATCACCTAAATTAACGTATTGCTTTCGTTTTAAAATGTTAGAAAACACAACGTTTCGCGTATGAAAATATTGAGACCTTTAAAATGTTTTGTCTTCAAGATATTGTCTCGACTTAAATGGAATCCCAGGGTCACGCGTACCTCTTCAAAAGTTCTACGTTAATTATTAAAATTACCCGAATCGCCTAAATTAACGTATTGCTTTTGTTTTAAAATGTTAGAAAACACAACGTTTCGCGTATGAAAATATTGAGACCTTTAAAATGTTTTGTCTTCAAGATATTGTCTCTACTTAAATGGAATCCCAGGGTCACGCGTACCTCTTCAAAAGTTCTACGTTAATTATTAAAATTACCCGAATCGCCTAAATTAACGTATTGCTTTTGTTTTAAAATGTTAGAAAACACAACGTTTCACGTATGAAAATATTGGGACCTATAAAATGTTTTGTCTTCAAGATATTGTCTCGACTTAAACGCTTCACCCTTTCTAAGTCGAACGCAGGCGAACCATATCGTTGCTATTATTTCAAGAGCACCCTCTATATTTTAGTTAAAATATTCCACGTACTATGTACCGGTCGGTGTACAACGTATAGCGTATCGAATCGCGAAAAACCATTTGCATAATTTATAATAGCAACCTTGCCATTTCTATGAGATAAGCTTCTCACGGTCGCTGATCGTTTCCTACTCGCGGCGGAGGGACCAAAAGGGGAAGATGGCAGATCGATCGAAGTTCGGTGAATGGTTCTCGAGTATTTCCGACACGGTCGCCGACATAATGAATCGTATCGTGACTGGTGAATAATTAAATCCCGTGTTTCCATGCAGATGAATTTTTTTCATGCACGAAACCTTTATTATGCCTACGGACAAGTCGGTCGACGTTCTTATAAAGACATTCCACTGCACGGGTCGAAACACGATGTCCTGTCAAATTCACGTGCCGTTACATAACTCCATCGCGTTGGATTTAATCCTTTTAGCTGCTCTATCGAGTTGTGATTTTCATTCGGTTCGTTTTAAAATAGAGTTTCAAAATCCGGGGATATCGAGCGACGAATACGCGAGGACAGTTTTAAAAGCAAACTTGTATTTTTTACGACGTTAAACGTTACAAAACATTCTTATCGATAAAAGTAAGAAATTAAAAAGATATTGATACGCAAACAGCGTTAACATGGTCTCCCGTGGAAATTCGCTCTGTAATTCGACTTTTCGGATTTTTATTTGTTTCGACCTTTTCTTAGGAAATTTTTCTTGTAGAGTCATGTTCAGTTTCTTGTTTATTTCAAGTCATCCATGTTATTTGAGAGATACAGCCTGATTTAAGCTCCAGAGTGATCGAAAATTAAGTTTATCGCGGTGGTCGTTTAATGTCATCGAATGTATTAAAACATCAGATTATCTTTGGTAGTTTTTATCCAATTGGAACCCCCGTTAGAAACACAGCATTTCGTCTAAAGTTCAAGATACGTGCCTTAATAATTGTACAAGTAGCGATAAAAGAATTTGACGCGCCAAGAAACCTTACTTTTTGATCAACCCTCGTATAACATCTCTGATTATTAGATATTAGAACCCGTTGCGTCAGGTAAAAAAGGAAGTAACGATTTGTTTTAGCGATGAGACAACGCGCCACCACTATTACCTGCAACTGCGAGACAATGTCGTCAGGCATGGCGGTGGGGTGGAGAGCCTCCATCCTCACCACCCCCTACACGAGCCATCTATCGTTACGCCATTGCTCACGCTCGCGGGTCTTGCCCTACAAGCCGATCTTGGGGACTACTCCGAAGAACGACACCGGCCACACGCAGGATATGTGGGATACTGCAAGCCCACCAATTACCTTCCGCCTCACGTAAGTCCTTAATTCACACTGAACTCTAGAAACAGAAAAGATTCAGAAAATTTGACGAATACATAGAAAGAACACTTGTAAGACGTGGCTCGCACCGATTTCAACAGAATGTATCTACAACTTTAGCTATCGAGCCAAACCTATCCCTATCTGTCCTATTATTTTGTCTGGCACTGTGTGGATGCATAGGTCTGGTAGATTCGGTTGAAATCGGTGCCTGATGGTTGTCAGTGGGAACAGTAGTCGTTTAAACGTAATGAATGATCGTGGCTTAGATGTGCCTCGAGTCAAATGTGCTCGCCGTGCTCGCGGCTCAGCACAGAGACAACAGGGGCCTATCGAGGGAGGAGGCAGAGTTGCAATACATCCGGGAGGCGGTGCTGCTGGAGGCGCCGCTCAACGCTCACCTCTATCGACTCAGACGAAGCAAGAACGAACCAGGCCCGGGACGCATACTCCTCGCGATATGTGCTCGCGGGGTGCGAGTCTACGCCGAGGAGGAGACACCGCGGGTCTTCGCCTGGAACAACATCGGGAAACTCTGCTTCGACGTTAGTTTCACCTCGTCTTGTTCGCCGAACGTCGCCAACGAACGCGATCTAACACACGATCTCTTCTGTGCAGCGCAAGAAGTTCGAGATTCGCGCTGTCGATCAGCCGGACAAGCTCACTCTCTATAGCGGATGCGACGACAAAAGCAAGCTGCTTCTGGGACTCTGTCGAGACACCCACCAGTTCTCCATGGCCATAGCACCTCGAGTGAACGAAGCGAAGAGGCGCGAGGAGGAAGGTGAGTTTTCGATCATCGACGATCGAATAAAAAATAGTGGTAACAGTTCGTGTAGAAAAATAATGGTGAGTTTGATTTTGCGTGATCGCAGAAAGAAAGGTTCTTCGCGACTGCTACATGTATCCCGCTCGATGCAAGCTGAGCTTAACGGCACGCGGGGCGCGCGGGGATCAACGGATTTCCGTGATCTCGAGCACGTCGTCTAACACAACTTCTGGAATTGTCAGCGATCGGGTTCACAGCGAGGACGAGCCGGACACGGCGCCTGCTTCGACCGAATGTCTGCCACGTCTTACTGAAAATACGTCGCACACGGGCGTCCAGGTTGTCGTCAACGGCACCAACGCGGACGAGGATCGTTCGATGCCGTCGTCGCCGGCCTCCACCGTGGACGGTAAGCTTATCGACGGTTGCATATCAATTTTTTTTATTTCTTTAGCTGCGTCAAGACCTGGTCGCGTTAAATAGAATTGAAATTACACTGTTTTCAGGAGGGAGGGGGATGTTTTTTTTTATAAGAATAGCATAGCCAGATTTTTGCCTCGAACTTTTTCACCTTATATTGCAACCAGGGTTGATCGATAGTTAAGGTTTCTAAGCCTACAGAATGTGTCCTAGACAAGAGGAACGATAAAAACTCGTTTTAAAATAAAGTATTTATTACACCCTTAACGTACACATTTATTTTTCTACGTAATCACCATTTAGTGGAGAACATATTTGTTAAACAGAAAATAGTATGAATCGCGCATTTGAAAGATCTGGTTTGGACAATTTTTTAAATTCCGAAGTCGTGCAGTGGCTCGAGTTACGAGTTTAATTTCAAAATATAAGAGTTGTTACGCGAACACAGCATCTAGCGATTTCCCCATCTTCGTCGTACTACCACGTTGACAATAAATATGATTTATTTAAATCAGCGCTACCTTTTGCAACGTCTAATAAACGATATAATTCTTTTTGAGAAGCGCGCCAGGATTTCTCGCATTTTGCACCTTGTTGGCATTAACCCTTAAATGGACTCTCGATCTCAACTGAATCACTTTACTTAATGTTGATTGTTATGAAGTTGATAAATTGGAAATCAACTTTCCTTTGAAGCATTTAGCAAACAATGAACTAATGGAGGATAACATACATTTTCAAGTAATTACATTGATATGTATTAAACAATTATTAGTTTTGAACCTGCGGCCCCGATAATCCACTTATGGGTTGAAATTACAGCTTCGCTGCTCGCGATAATTACGAGTAGAGTGTTCTAAAAATTGTTCGACGATTTTTATTATAGAAGTCGACGGAGCTGATAACACACCTACGACGGCTGCGCTGAGGTTGGCGTCGAATGCAGCGACGGCGGCCGAAGGGTCACAATGTAGCAGCAGCTGCAGCACCGTCGTGGTCGTGAATGCACCTGCTGGTGGACCGCCGAGAATGCGCCGGACTTCAGCAACATCCAGTCTGGAGTTGGGTTATTCGCATACGGCACAGAATTCAGCGGTTTCGTCGGAAACCGCTAGCTTTCCTGGCGCCATTTACGACAGGTGCAACAAAGTTGGAAAATATGCAGGTGAGCCTCGACCAGTTTTCTTACTTTCGATCCGCCGTTGTCGAGTTATATATTCTTCGATAAATTGTATTTAGTTTCCGACCGCGAGTACATTCTCGATCGGATCAACAAATTCCTCAGGCGCCTGTGTTAATTTAAGGATCGTGTGTATTTATACAACATTCTCAACGATTAAATTCTCTACCCTGCTCATATAAGACTGAACGCACCATGGAAAACATTGCGAATATTTCTTCCTTTCGAATTAAAACTGTATACTCGAGGTCAAAGCTACTGGATGGTAGCTGCAGCTGTCTTCGTTTCGCAAATGTTGCAATCTGCATCTTTAAGGTTGGAGGTTCCACATGCAGGTTGCAACATTTACTGTAACCATCCTGTAACCAGGCCGCGAAAGCCTTAAATCTCAAAATAAATCTGTATACCTTGACTTATAGAGATATCGAACCCTTCCCACGAATGTACAATGTTACGTATCCATCGAATAAGTAAAGAAAAAATGTCGTTTCTAGGTACAGATATCGCGAGTGAGACCAGCGGTGTATACACACTGAGAAGCAGCGAGATGCAAGACGAGAGAATAGGAGACTTGTACTCGCCGACTGGAGACGCCAACGAATCATCGGCAGCGAGCGACGTGTGCGCTTTAAGTTCCGTGCAGTCGACGACCGACGAGGCATCGGTGACGTCCGGCTTCTACACCATCCACAGCGGCCTTAGATCCGAAACGAGCGACGTGTACACGGAAGATGTTAGCACGGAAGACCAAGAGCCCATCTACAGCGTCTGTAAGGGCGACGACGACGTGGTGAACGTGGTGGCCGCGATGACGGTAGTTTCGTTGGACCAACAACTGGACGATCCTAGGTCGCGCAGCAACAGCATTCTGAGCGCGGGAAGCTTCAGAGGCGACGGTAGCGATCCTTCCAGCGTGGGACCACTGTTGTCGGCCGACGAGCTCTCGGATCTGATCGTCGGTCGTTATCCACCCCGAAAGACTATCAGTAATTCCATGGATTCCGACTGCGATTACGTTACCATGCCCCCGCCGCCGCCGCCACCGCGGACGGACAGCGACAGGCAGCTACCTCCGCCGCCTCCTTACCCGGTGAGCATGGATTACGCGACGATCAACTCGTCGCGATCCAAGATACCGGATATCGATCGGGAACCGCCGCCCCCGCCGCCGTACAACGCGACACGCGGCGAGTTCGTGCCCCTGCCGCCGAGGAGGACCGATCCACCACCGCCACCCCCTTACACGTCGCCCAGGGAAAGGATACAGATACCACCGCCGACGCCCCCGAGAAACGATGCTGTGACGCCCAGGGAACCGCCGCCCCCGCCGCCTTACCCAGAAGTTTCCGATGTCACTCGACAAGAGGCGATCTCGACCCTCTATCCGACCACGAGCGAGGAGATCGTTTCGAGGGTCACGTCGACGAAGATACAAACCAGCCTCGCGAACAGCAAGGCAAACATCGGTTTGGTGTCGTCGAAGACCATCGTCGGCCAGGTCCAGGTGAACGACGCGACTTCGATCGCCCCGAAACCGCCGCCCAGGATTCAACCGCCCACTTATCCCGGTGACAAAATGAAACCCACGCCAGTTCACGCACCCGTCGCGGCCCTCGTCGTGGGGCCGAACAATTACTTGGACGTGCACGCATCGCGAGGCGGCCCTGTTCTGTTGCCCTACTTAACGCCACCGCCGCCTCCGCCACCCCCACCTCCACCCATGGTTCACCCCAGACAACCTCCACCGCCGCCACCCAGCCTGGCAACCGTTTACACGAGCCAGGTTGCCAGGTCGCAGATCGAACAGTATAAACAACAGCTCTATTCCGACGTCGATTACGTCATGTTCCCGCTGAAGGATCCCGCGGTGTCCAAGCAAGAGTACATAGACGCGAAACAAGGCTCGCTTCTTGCAGCGATGGCCGCCTATCCCCCTCCGCCTTATCCATCCTTCAACAACAAATCGTTGGTTATGTACCGTAGCACGCCGTATCTTCCCGGTTCCTCCTTCTCCTCGCCGTCTAAATACGCCTCCAATCAAAACCTCAGTAGCAGCGACACGAGCTCCAACAATTACTTGCCGCATAGTAATCTGAGCAGCCACTACGCTGCCAGCACGAGCTCGCTGTACAGCGGGGTCACTTGTTCGTCGGCAGGAAGTCAGAGTCTCAGACGGGAACCACCCGCGCCCGCGCATCCTCACACGCTTCACGCGTTCTCGAGGACCAGAAGCGACGAGAACATTCTCAAGTGCTTTGACTCTCCCTCCAACATGAAGCTACAGTCTTTGCCGCAACTTAAGCATCGCAGACTTCCGCCGCCGCCTCCGCCGCCTCCCTACGAAATACAGGTACGGCTCCGACGTGTAATTTTTCTATAGAACAGGTATATAGATAGAGAACTATAATATGAACAGTATACAATAATGACAACAATATGCACTGTTCCTAAAGTGGTTACCTACATTCGAGTACTAACTGCCCCCAACGTTGCTTAACTTTGCTAATCAGACAAGAACCAGTGTTTCGACCGTTGACAGTATCGTTAATTAGAGCATTTAAAATTATAAGATTTGGAAGTTTATTTCTATATTTCTTGTCGCAGAATCTCGAGAAGAATCAACCGCTCCCGTCGGCTTCCTCGTCATCTTCATCGCCGAAGAAGACGTCCAAGTCGAGCGTAACGGAGGAGCACGAAGAAGGAAAGGAAGACGGTATGTTGGACATACGGACGCTTCGCGAGAAGAGCAGAAATTTGGATCTACCGTTGATATCAGCATTGTGCAACGACCGGTATCTGCTGAAGCAGACGAAAGCGTTCGTTATGCCGAAGCATCCCACCGAGGCGACGTGTTCGACGTCCACGAAGAACGGGACGAGGAACAACAACGGTGGTACATCCAGTAGGAACAAGTATCCGGTTAGCGGTCTGTCGACGACCCAGATAACGAAACCTCCTAGGAAATCCTCGACGAGTACCCACAAACATCCCGCCGAGGTGAAGGGGAACGCTTACAAGATCACGAATTCGACGAGCGTGTCTCCTGCTAAAAAAGACACAACGAGAGCGTCGCATTCGTAACACGGATTTTGAAAAGTGGCGGCCAGCCCTTCAGAAAATTATGAAACGCTGTACCTCGACGAAAGTACATTCCAATATGCAACTTGGCGATTTCACGCCAAGTTCTGTCTTTGAATAATAGACAGTGGTTATACACCATGTAGTTTGACCGAAGAAAGAATCGACTTTGGAGAATTTTTCCTCCACTTTGCTGGCCGAAGATTAACGACGGGATCAAGCATACGCGAGTAACGTAGAAACCGATCAACAAAACATTTATTTAACAGTTAGTTAACTACTGTCCACGTGGATAGACTCATTCACGACTTTGTATCCTTTATTGTGATGCCGTCTTGTACTTCTATAGAGCTCGTACGTATATGGTGCCCTAAGATAAGTGCTGTTTAAAATAACCTCCAATACTGATTTTATAAAAATAAGAAATTATTTTCTAATTTTCGGGTAGAGAAAAAATTATATCTTGACTTTTTAAAGGTTACCCTAAGGTCAGTTCAATGATATGTGACATCATAATCTTCAAAGTGACACAGAGTTATAAAGAAACATTATAACGAATGTTTTGTTCGTATAAAAAAGAGAATTTTCGAGGGTGTTGTAATTTGAAGTATAAAAGAACGAACGTTATAAATAAATTTCTAAATAAATATATTATCGTGTTACATATTTTTGAATTATATCCAACAATATGTCAGAAATACGTATAGAAGATAGAAAAGGTAGTCTTGGAATAATCTCTGAATTCTTATTTCAAATGGCACTTGGTATAACCTATGTAACGCATCGGACAACGTTCCTGACCATGATAACGGAGTTAGAGTGGGGGAACTGCGATTTCTAGCTTTGGGACCTTGAATGCCATAGATGTACGATAATTTGTAATTAAAATTTCTAGAACAATGAGCAAGAAACATTTTATGCACCAGAAGAGGAATATCGTTAAATATTTCTAACGCGATGTTCGATGTGTCTGGGGCAGAGAGTGACAAGCTCCAGTTTCATATATCTCAACCTACCAATCGTGACGAATCTTTTCCTTCGACCCGGCTATAAGTACTTATACACCGTTTTTTCTTTTTCTTTTTCTTTTTTTTTCTTGAAGACCGTGCTTCTTCAACTCAGGGTGCCATTTTATCGTTTACAATACTTCTGCTCATCGCGAATACTCCCAAAAGTCCGATGAGAGTAGGTTATGTTTCGCCTCGAACGACGAATTACTACAACGTACGAATCATTCGTAATATTAAATAAGGAGAACCTAAGGCGTCTATTATATACTTTTCATCTCATTTCATCATTATGATCTCTCTGATACTCCTAAAAAAAATTATACTCTTCCCCCCTGCGAAACGAAGCTTCTGCGTACATAGAATAATAGAAACACCAACAATGAAAAGTTCGTTCATTTAATTTTTTTTTTTTTTTTTCTCTATTTTTGCTCAAATAAGCGATTAGCGCGACGAAAATAAATTGAGTACAAATCTCGTGAATCCTAGTAACGAAACCGTAAGTGCTCTTATAAATACTTTTATACTCTGAAAGAAGGCAGGTACGATTATTGTAACTAGAGAAATAGTACCTATCGATGTCTACGGAAGTAATATTTATTACCATCCAAGTTTTTTGTCTTTGTATTGTTTTTTTAATTATCTCTCAATCAGTGCTCGCTTTACGATACTTTCTATCAAAGCGTTTTTAAGCATTTGCGTGAACGTAACTGTAAGTGTAGTTGTCGTTAATATTGATCGTCGATAGTTCACGCGGTTATCAGGGATGTTATGTTAAGGGTTAAGTGAAGTTGGCGAGAAAATTTACGTATCGATCGACTGAGAAATTCTGCGAGGATAGCATAAATTTGAACGATTGAACGCATCGTTGGCAGATTATTTTTGGTGACTGCACTACAGGACACGCACTAGAAGATAAACGCGAAACAATTAAAGTTGTAAAAGATCCGCGATATCGCGGACCTTTCGAACATTAATCATAGATCATAGTGTAATGGGTAATAATTTAGATGTAATGTTGACTTATGTTAATTAATACTAGCTATTAATATTGCAACATGAACCATGTCTGTACATAGTATTGCGTGAAATTATAGGATTTGTTGTAGTCGGAAACCTCATGTATGTACCACGCGCCACCTCAGCTACGAATAATAAACTTTTTTTTTTATAATGAAAATATAACCGAAAATTTTTTTTTTTCCGAGTTTAGTGGCCTATCTTTGTGTGGCTCCTATGTGTATCAGTCCTATAGACTGTAGAACTTGGTAAAAATGTTTGTGAAGGAGTGAGAACAACTTGAAATTGCCTTGATCACAATGTTTGATGTCATACTCAATTTTAGAGTGCATTAAAGTTTTGTACAAGGTAATTAGTTTGTGGATCACAGCCCTCTCAAAAATTTTATAATATTTAACGTCTTGAAACCCCAAATTATAACCTTCTGAGAATGAGGTTTGACATTCAGTTTGTCGTTTATATGGACATATTACGGTTATGTAATTCGCGTATTGGGTAATGAATCTTCCATTCTCACGAAAGTTGTCCATAATGTCAGCTGTGTAGAAATTAAAAAGAAAAGGGAAAATAATTTCCCGAAAATATATTTTGGTTGCATACGATTTGGACGCCACCTAGCGTTGAAGGCAGCGTACTATTTCTCGACAAACTTGGACGTTCTGCCGTAGATGGCTGTGCAATCGTTCGTCTGACAGATATAGTGCATATTTTTTAATAACGTAACAAATAATGAAAAAATTTGATTTACCAACAAGTAGTGCACTTAATTGTGGGACATTGTGCTGACTAAAACCGATATTGTATGTACTTATTTTTGTGATCTCTTCTCTCATCTCTTTGTCACGAGTATTGACTCGCCCACCAAAAAATGAGGACTTTTCTAATCATGGAATTTTAACAAACAACACAAAATTCATAATTCATAGTAAATATAGATCTTCTGTATTTGTAACAACATATTTTTTTTTTTAGTTATTCTTTTCTGTAGACAGAATATATTGTATATATTGTACAGATGTAGACGCAATGTATTCTCACGACGGTCGAAAATAATCGTAATCACACAATGTTTCACGCCATTACATTCTGGCTCGTAGCATGGAGAGAGACGCCATAGAAGTTTTTACAATCTACATGGAACAGAAATAGTTGCGAATATTTTCTCACGTCCATCGCCAACAAATGATTGGTTTTCGAAATGTATACAGATAGTATTAAATGCATGATCGTAATTTCTTTTCACCTCTATCGACTTGAGTTTGTACAGTGGATAACGTAATTACTATTGCAACATACGAATACAAGTTAGTTTTTTGAAATTTAAATATCTTGTAAGATATGCCTTTGAAAGTGTTAATTAGTGTGCCTCAGGGGAAAACAGCAACCAAACCACTTTAAAATTGTATCATTTTCTTTTTAATTATTAAGGAGATCTGTAGACTGTTTTTTTTTTACATATAAATTAGATTAACTCGACAAGTCGAGTTTTATTATATTTTATTATCCGAGTTAAATAGTCAAACTTGATTTACGAATTTAGGACCTCGAGAGGAAAAAATATTTTGAGCTCCAAAATTCATAATTCATATTTGATCAATTAATTCGGGTACACCTAGCATATATGTATATTTTTTTCAATCCAAGGGATAGAGTAGCTTAACACATTACCGACCGATAGCCTATTAATCGACTTTTTTACCGACCAACGCTTACCGACCGATAGCCGATTAATCAACCGCGACCGGTCGGTAAAGTGTTAAGTGATGTACATTTAGGGATCAAAATGAGACAAAATGATACCTTTTATCTATTTACTTAGCAAGAATAGAAACACGATTGTAATAATATTTTTATTGTTCCTCAAATTTGAAATGTTGAAAGGGAATAGTTGTACTTACCTCGGTGAAACCAAGCAACGAGAAAACATAAAATTTCCCAGCCGTGATGTGCATCGCTTTTTGCCCATTCATCATACACATTAACACTGCTTTTCTCTCGTTGCTTGCCATCTCTGGCCAGTCGATATCATAAAATGCGTTACCCAACTTTTTGGACTAAAGTATATCATCGAATTAATATTTTAAACAAAAATGTTTATTGTCACGATAGAGCGATAAAATACAATGTTTGACAAAAAATCGAATCACTTTCAAGAGCACCACAAAAATTATTTTAGTTTATTTTTCTCAACATTTTCGTCCATTTTCTGTCATTTTTAAACTTTGTAGCTCTCTTGCTTCTCGGTATTTCGATTTCTTCAAGCAATGTTAACACATTACCGACCGATAGCCTATTAATCGACTTTTTTACCGGCCAACACTTACCGACCGATAGCGTATTAATCAACTTTTTTACCGACCAACGCTTACCGACCGATAGCCGATTAATCAACCGCTACCGGTCGGTAAAGTGTTAAGATAGTTATGTAAGCGTTCTCGTACAGTTTTAACTGATACCTCGTATGTAACTCGAAGCAATTGGAGAAATTCTAAACCAAATGCAGATAGAGAAATACATATACATATGTGGGCGTACGTACCTCGAACGATAGTTGTTCGCCTATGTAGGAGTACAAGTATAAAAAAGCAGTCACATCTGCGGCGTGTATAAGGAAATTTAACGCAACTGCTGGATCCGTAGAGATTTTCTGAAAAATTAAACAAACAGCGATCATCGAAGTTTCAATGAAAAGCTAAACACTTTAAATTATGATATTCCATAGTCAAAGTGTTTTAGTTTCTAGGATTTGTTCTCTTAAATGAAATTATTTTGGCAATTTTCATGCGGGAACATCGTGCAAAATGGTGATTATTGTACGTGTCAATTTTTAGGAAAGTTATTCGTAAGGATGGTCTGTAAGAAGGATCTGTTTAGGATTAGAAAACTCTTAAACGCAAAGTTTAACATTTAGTAAAATGATTGGAGGATGTAGATTCCTACAATTTTGTTATGTTACGAAGCTTGAAGGATATTTCTCTAAAATCTTGGCCTTCTACCTTAAACAAATTCATGTCCTTACGATCAGTGCAACATATAATGCTAAGCCCAATCTGAAACCACAGCTCATGAGTTCTAGTAGGAGGACCAGGTGAAAACAGTCGTTTAATGTTCTCGACATCCTGTAAATAAATTCTTCTAAAAAACTTCTCGAATTCCCTCGGTGTAAAAAATAGTAAAACTAGATTTATAATTAAAAATAATGCAATAGAGTGCGAGGAAAACGTACCTCAACAACTCCAAATGCGCGGTCACCGACCGCTTGATGCCATCTTTGAACGATTTCGGCGGATTCATTGGAATATTTCGAATACGATACGCGAGTATCGATATCTTAGCGCAGAGATGTAGCATAACGTTAACTATGAAACTAACTTCCGCTACGTGGAACATAGGTATGTACGTGACAGGTAGTTGGTACAAGTACAGCAGGGCATAAAGTGGAGGTTTCTGGTAGTTGAACATAACGTGGGCTCGGAAAGGTAGCTGGAAAAGCACGGTGTCGTTACCTGTGGGAAAACACGAAGCAAATTATGCTGAAAATGTCTTCCAAATGTTACGTTTGTTCAAGTAATGTAACTTCGATGCGTTAGATGCAATCCGCGTCACATTTCCCTGGCAGTCGAGGCTTAAATCACCTATAGTGTCGGTGGCGTTAGTTTACGTGTCGCACCACGTTAATTCTAGCAACATTGTTCGATTCATTCCCTACAACAGTATTCCTTCTCCTTGAACGCGTAATAATTTTTACTCACTTTGAATGTTTCAATCGTGACGCGTCAAATTTGACTTCACTGCTGGAAGAAGTATACAGGTTGTTCGACCACCTCTGAGAAAAATTATAATGAAAGATTCTAGGAGCCAAAATAAGACGAAAATCAAGAATACCAATTTGTTGATGGAGGCTTCGTCAAGAAGTTATTAACGTTTAAAGTTCCGCCCATACTGAATTTTTTTCTCGAAAATGCGCAGGATTTCGGGGGTATGTCTATTCACCAAAAATGATTGTAATTGACCCCTGCAACCGAAAATAATTTTTTCAGTATGATTTGAAATTTTGTTTTTCCGTCGAAAAATTTCATACCTTCTCGAATTTTTTTCTAGAAAGTCGGTAGGATTTCGGGGGTATGTCTATTCACCAAAAATGATTGTAATTGACCCCTGCAACCGAAAATAATTTTTTCAGAATGATTTGAAATTTTGTTTTTCCGTCGAAAAATTTCATACCTTCTCGAATTTTTTTCTAGAAAGTGCGTAGGATTTCGGGGGTATGTCTATTCACCATAAATGATTATAATTGATCTCTGCAACCGAAAATAATTTTTCCAGAACGATTCGATATTTTTTTTTCCGTCGAAAAATTTCATAGCTTCTCGAATTTTTTTCTAGAAAGTGCGTAGGATTTCGGGGGTATGTCTATTCACCATAAATGATTATAATTGATCTCTGCAACCGAAAATAATTTTTCCAGAACGATTTGAAATTTTTATTTTTCGTCGAAAAACTTAGGCACCTGATTAGATTTTCGGTGAGGAATTTTTTTCTCGAAAGTGCGTAGGATTTCTGGGGATGTGTAATGACCAAAAATGATTGATCTTATTCGTCTTATTTCGGTCTGTATAAGTTCCCATTAAAATTTTACCCAGGGTTGGCCGAACACCCTGTATAGAAATAAGTGAAAAAAGATATACGTGTATCAAAAGATAAAATGTAGGTCCAAAATCCGATACTCATCGAGGTAACGAGTAATTTGTATTCCATAAGAGTAACTTTTATACGTTATTTCAGATATTTTTATCACATTGGGCATTTTTTAAATTAAATGTAAGTCAATTAATATTTTTGTATTGTCTTACACGTGGTTCCCAGTAGCAGAGTCAAATTTTGTGTGTTATGATTTAAAAACTAATCATCTTCTATTAACAGGACCAATTTCTTCCAGAGACAACCTTTCATACGACACCCTAATACTAATTAACGAATACCTCGATTCGAAGAAGTGAGCAAATCTATCAAAGGGCGGGGATACATAGTAGCAATAATGAAAAACGAAGCCATTGCCGTGTATTTGCCGAAACGGTAGCAGATGGTGTTGTAGGCAGAGTACAAAAGCTTCTCGTCGCTGTTCTCGAACAATTTTTCACCCGCGATTTCTCTCTTCATTGTGACAATCACCTCCCCCAATTCCTTCCTATGAGTGGCTATCAGAAGAAGACCAAGATACGACGACGTCGCCACCATAGTTTCCAGTATGTTTATCACTATCAAATCCACATCACCCCTACAATCGTACAGATCCCAGTATCCAAAAATCAAGTGCAGAATAAAGTACACCACCGTGGTCCTTAATAGTACGTCCGCGTGTTGCAGCGGCCAGGACCCAGACAACGAAAAAATCCATTCGTTCAACACGAGTGGATCTTTGATTCGTATATCGTCTTCGGCCTACAATGCACAGACTACATTATTCGAAAGATATCGAGATGCATAAATACACTGACGTATTGGGTCGTAACACGCGTCAACTGGATCTTCCTAAATCATTAAGAACTTATAAACATACACAATTATGTTATCGATATGTTACTATCGAAACTATGTCAGATCGAGACAAGAAATATAAAGTGCAAAGAAAAGGACAATGTCAGGCTATTCTTTAACATTCGACGAAAAGAAGATATTATATACAACTGTCATAGCTAAGGCACTAATTGAGAAATACGTTTATTGGACGAGTTATGCTCCCTACAAACTTTATTGTTTACGTGTAATTAGAAAAAACAAACTTCTTAATTTACGTAAAGGGATAGCGATTTGATTCATTTCTCCGCGTTCGAAGAAGTTAACAGTCCGCTATTGTTTCTTAATTTATCAGGAATTTCGTATGTTACAACCCAATAGAAACGATTTGTCCTCTCACTTTCATCACTTTCTGTCGTGTGTTAGTCGACTATTGAGATCAGACAGTGGTCGCGCGACTGTGAATTTCGTTGGAACATGGTCAGCTGGCTTCAATCGATGAACGATAATTTCTTGCAATGATCTTGTCATGAATTATTATTTACTCTACGAAGGAAGGACACTTGAATTTCCCCGTGCGACGCCCCCGTAACCAATTTGCTATCGGCTATTCTGCTTCTTTCCACAAACTTAGTATATAACTATAGATATTACTTCATATCTTCAGCGCATAGACTGCGTCGTGATGTTGTAAATTGTTGCATTATCTATTGAAAAGTTCTGTCGTTTCTTCGACCTATGTATATTTATCTGGTATTCGGAACAGTACGCGAACTTGTACTTTTATTAACCAAACCTGGTGTATAAAAGTAACAGAAATCTGCAAGATGAGTTTCGCCTTTACGATGGAGGCTCGAGAGGAATTAATTTTTAGTGGATTAAATGTATTCGCGATGTTGCACGCGTATTACAGCATGGTGCAATCGAGATTTCTGCGATCGATAGTTTCCGCGACATTTTTTGATACGATAGTGGCTTCGAGTGCAATCACTGTGCTACCATATTTAAACTTGATTCAATTTTCTAAATGTGTAAGTCTTACCAAATTTGTACACGTTTCGTCGTTCTTTCCATTTTTGTATAACTATTGTATTTTATTAATTCTTCCCCTTACTCTTTACTTGTTTCGACTGTTGATTTTATTGATTTTTGTTTGTGATCATTTTATCAGAGAATTTCTATTTTTTCTCCCGTATTGTTACACTTTGTATCCACCTTTGACAGATAAAAAAGAAAATAACGATTTGTTGTTATTATCTCAGCGACGAAACGACACGCCATCACTATTATCTGCAACCGTAGAATAATGTCGTCAAGCATGGCGTTGAGATGGACAATCATCATGCTTCTCTACATGAACCATCGATCAGTACATCGCTGTTCCTACTCGTGAGTCTAAAAAATTTGTAATTCGTTAAATGTAAATAAAATTTGCCCAACTCTGGCTTGTAATAGGCAAGCTCGAGTCGTTGAGTCGATAATTCTAGGTCTTTGTCTCTTGGTGTGAAGTGGTTAGGGGGTGGATTAATATGCTTGTGATCTAGGGATCACAAATATGTGAAATGAAAACTGCAGAAGATAATCTGGTGCTCATTGTTTTATTTTTATGCACCGTTCTATGCCATGTAAGAATTTTATTTGTCAAAAAATACTACGCTTATTAGGGAAAGGGGGTGGGGAAGTATTGTACAGACTGGAATTGTCCTCTTGAATTTTTATGAATAGATACAACAAGATGTACCTAGTTATCTGATCACTATTCATCGATTCAAGAATATTGATCGACTCATAATAAAAACAAAGCATCCATATCTTGGTTACTGGAAAATAGGCTGAATTTGAACTAATACACTATAAATATGGGTCATTTCTATACATCATTACGTGCTTTTTTTATTATTTTTTGCAGCAGACAAAATATATTAGGTTGCTGTATGCTGGTGAATTATTAGTACGCAGTATATTACATTCCAGAAGACACAACTTCTCATAAGGTTAGAAAATAATCGTAATAACAACATACTGTTACATTCCGGCCCGTAGCATGGAGAAACACGCCATAGAAGATTTTACAATCTGTTCGGAACAGAAATCGTTGAGAGTATTTTTTCATGTCTTTCACAAACGAATTAACAGTTAATCGAGACACACACAAACAGTACAAATACAAGTTATCGTATTTCTATGCTTCATAGAAGATATGTCTAATTGGAGAAGTTTATCGTAACTCAGTTTGAAAATGTTACGACTTTAATATTTTGTTACATTTTTTTTAAGTTTTAATTGAACCGGGTTTTTTTTTAATCATAAGTAAATTAAATTTAACTCGAGTTTCGTTGTGTTTATTTATTATATTTGCAATTTTCATAAAATGTTTCCAACTACGAAGCTTCACAAATTATCGACGACGAAAAATTAAGCTTACGAGACATATAGGTACACTTATGGACAAAAACCAAGCATCTTATGTTTATTGTATCATATAACAAGAATGGCAACACGTCATGAAATGTATCATCGGTATTATTGCTCTCTAAATTGCTATTTGAGAAAGGTTGTACTCACCTCGGTAAAACCGAACAGCGAAAAAGTATAAAATTTCCCAGCCGTGATGTGCATCGTTTTTTGTCCATTCATCATACACATTATCAACGCTTTTCTTTCGTTGCCTTCAATATCTGACCAGCGAATATCATAGAATGCGTCACTCAATTGTTGGGACTAAAGTATATTATCGAGTTAATATCGTTACAATAAAGCCACGAAAATATACAGTTTGTCAAAAAAATCGAATTTTATATGTTTTCATGGAATTACAATCGTTTGCACGGAATTTTTTTAATACGATTACACGGTTTCCATTAACACGATTTATTAAAACGATTATCGTACGTACCTCGTATACTACTTGTTCGCCTACGTAGGAATACAAGTATAAAAAGCTACCTACAACAAAGGTGTGAATGATGAAATTGATTGTAGCGATTTTGTCAACGTCGAGTTTCTGAAAAGTGATATAAATAAAAAGTAACTCATAAATATTGTCAGGAAGTTACAACGATCTATATCGAAATCATTTCAATAGTGTTTTCGAAAACTATTGAATGTAACGATTTCTATATACAGTTTATACATTCTCGTAAATTCATTTTATTTGTGTAAATTCTAAAATATACTGACACATACTAAATAAATTTATTTACTTACGATTAGTACGAGGTATAACGATAGGCCCAATCTGACACCACAGCTCACGAGTTCTATCAGAAGCATCATATTGAAATTGTTGTTTAACGTTTCCGAATACCTGTAAAAGACTATTTTTCGACAAACTATTCTCGAACTGTTGCTGTGCCAAATATTGGATCGATAATAATTCTTGTTCGTCTTGTACAAGATCTAATAAACGGTTAATTGTAAAAAGAAATATCGGTGGATACTTTGGATCCTGAACTTGGCCAGCGACAAAATTTTAATTGCAATTAAAAATGAAAGAACAACGCATCAGAAATACATACGTACTTACTCTTTCAGCTCCAAATGCATGAGCACTGTTTGTTTGATGCCATCTTTAAATGATTTTGTTGAGTCTATTCGAATATTTCGAATACGATAGACGAGTATTGATAATTTGGCGCAGAGATGCAGAGTCAAGTTGACTATTAAACCTACTTCCGCTACGTGGAGCAGGGGTACGTACATAAGAGGAAACTGATACACGTACACGAGTGTATAGAGCCGGGGTGAATTATAGTCGAAGATGATGTGAGCTCGAAAAGGCAGGTGATATGGCATGGTACTACTATTCCCTGTGAGAAAATACGAAGAAATAGATGTTTATACTTAAGGGGCATTTCTAGTGCGAATCTTTGAAAGAATCGATATTTTTTGCATTTTCTTAAAGTACATAATTTGGCCTGAACTCCTAAAACTAACAAAGTTATGGCTATTTGAAGAATGCGTTAGTCAATTGTTACAGGGATACGAAGACAGAACGGTGTCCATGATATCTCAAAATCCACTTGACCAATTGGCTTAAAATTTTAGGTGCACATTCAGTACATATGTGACTACAGCCTCTATCAAAATGATCCGAAAATTTGTACTTTTTATACTTCTTTGGAACGATCTTTCTAATTTGAGTCGAAGATGCTCGATTTTTGTTGGATCTTCTGGGAATTCGAAGTCTCAAGAATATTCTTCGCGTTATCAACGCGTTGAAATACAAAATAATAACAAAGACGTAACACTTTAGCTTGAATGCGACTGGAGTATGCAAATTCTTCTTGTTTGATCGAAAAAGAGACACGTGCCTTCGGTATAATAACTGGTTTTGAATAGAACTGTTGAAAAATCGAGTTAATTAGAGACGAAGGGCTTAGTTCTCTCATCGAGCTGGAATTGCAGATTAATTACGGAAATTCGTAAGTATCTCGTATTACTTCTTAAAACTTGTTTTTCTCGAAACCACATTCTTCAAACTGGTTGGCAGTATATCTTAGGTACTACCCACTCGATCGTCTCGAAATTTAGCAGACATACAGGGCGTTTCAAAACGATGGGACAAGCCGATACATGCAAATTTGTTGTGTAAAGAAAAATCGAAATGTTTTTTAATATTCTAGTTAAAATCATTACATAACCATTATGACAAAAACGCATAACTAGTGAGATAAATAGTGTCAAGTAACGATCAACTTAGGATAAAAAGCAATGCAAGGTGTAAAGATTAACGATGCAGATAATTAATTTTTCGTGAACAAAAATGAACCTTTCTCAACATAAACTGTTGACTAATATTACAATAGATTTCGACTCCATTTTCAACATCATTTATCTAAAAAATTAGGCGTTCTGAGCATAATGTTCATGAACTATTTCTTTACTCCATTCTATTAGCTGAGTCGCCTCTATAGGACTATTCTTTTTTTAAGAAATACCTTTAAAATGTATATAACACTGATTAAGAAATACCTGGATCAAAAGCAACGAGCAAGTCTACAAAAGGACGGGCATACATCAAAGTAACTGTGAACAACGATGCAAGTGACATGTATTTGCTGATATTACACGAAATGTTGTTGTAACTGAAGTACAAACGCTTCTCCTCGACGTTCTCGGTTAAATTTTGATCAGCGATTTCTTTTCTCATACTGATAATCACGTTCTTCAATTCATTGCTACGCTTGGCCACCACGAGAAAACCGAGATACGTCGACGTCATTAACATAGTTTCCAGAACATTCAACACCGCCAGATCTATATCATCCATGCACTCGGTCAGATCCCAATATCCTATAAATAGGTGCAGACTATAGTACACCACCGCGAACGTAAATAGCGCGTAAGCGCGATGCAGCGGCCAGACACCTCCCAACGAAAAAATCTTTTCGACCACCACGAGTGGATCTTCGATTCGTATATCGTCTTTGGCCTACAATGCACAGACTGCATTATTCGAAAGATATCGAGATGCACAAATGCACGGACGTATTGGGTTGTAACATGCGTCAACTGGATCTTCGTAAATTACTAAGAACTGCGAATTATACACATGTTCTTTATGAACACAGAGAATTATGTTATCGACATGTTACTATCGAAACTATGTCAGATCGAGATACGAAATATAAAGTGCAAAGAAAAGGACAACGTCGAGCCATTCTTTTGCATTCGACGAAAAGAAGATATTTCTACGTAACATGCACTCGTACGATCCAAAGAATAACAATAGTTATTTCGTTGTAATATGATGACAAAGTTGTAATAGGTACGCGTTGATATTGAAATTTATAGCGAGCACAATTCATTCGTGTAATGTATTTTATTATCGTATGCATTCGATGACGTTCTATTTTCGAAATAATAATCCAGAAAATTGGTCGAGAAGACAGTGGAAGTTTATGTATCCAGCGAAACCGAAAAATTGTGGAACTATTGCTACGGAGGAGTAACAACCCCCCGTTCGCAGTAGGATGAATTGCAGTAATCGAAAACGACTGATTTATGAATTCTCGAAGAACGAAAAGTAAAATTGTTATAGGAAAATGCGTGTTTTGATTTTAGAATGAAGCTTTAATGTGATCCTTGCATATGTAGAACTTATCAACTAAGACGAGCTTCAGAGTATTCTGTCGATCATATATGTAAGTTAAGACGCTGGTTTCGATGAATAGAAAGATCAAATTGAAGCAGACTCCCCCAACAGCCTTTTACAGAAGACATGAATACACTTTAGCCACTCAAATACCATTAAATATTTTTAAGGCATTAATTGATTTGTGTTCACTATGAATTTCAATGCTTACGTGTGTCTATTACAATGTCTTCATCGAAAATCGATCTTATAAAATAAACTATTCTTCCTCGATTCAGCTAGATGTGCAGATAAGTACATGCTAAGTAGAAATATATCTGTTCCGACGAATGTTAAAAATGTCCATTTTTCGATACTGTCCTTCAAATGATTTTACGTGCATTTTAACTATCTACTCTTTTCAGTATTTCGCATTTATTTTCATATACACACGACGTTCTACGAGAAAATAAATTTCTTAATTTCCAACACGTCTGATTAAATATTTACTAAGGGGACAGCAATTTGATTATACTCCCTTTTCACGTTAATTTATTAGGAATTCCGTATGTTACAACCCAATAGAAAAGATTTGTTCTCCCACTTTCATCACTTTCTGGCGTGTGTTACTCGACTATTGAGTTCAGACAGTGATCGCGTAACTGTGAATTTCGTTCCAACATTGTTAGCTGACTTCAATCGATGAACGATAATTTCTTGCAATGATCTTGTCATGAATTATTATTTTCTCTACGAAGGAGGGACACTTCAATTCCCCCGTGCGACGCAGCCGTAACCAATTTGTCATCGGCTATTCTGTTTCCTTCCACAAACTTAGTATATAACTATAGATATTACTTCATATCTTCAGCGCATAGACTGCGTCGCATTTATCGGTAAATGTACGTGATGTTGTAAATTGTTGCATTATCTATTGAAAAGTTCTGTCGTTTCTTCGACCTATGCATATTTATCTGGTATTCGAAACAGTACGCGAACTGGTACTTTTAGTAACCTAACTTGGCGTATAAAAGTAACAGAAATCTGCAAGATGAGTTTCGCCTACACGCTGGTGGCTCGACGGGAATTAATTTTTAGTGGATTAAATGTATCTGCGATGTTGCACGCGAATTACAGCATGGTGCAATCAAGATTTCTGCGATCGATAGTTTCCGCGACATTTTTGGATACGATAGTGGCTTCGAGTGCAATCACTGTGCTACCATATACAGGGTGTTCGGCCACCTCTAGCAAAAATTTTAATGAGCGATAGTAGAGGCCAAAATAAGACGAAAATCATGAATACTAATTTGTTGATGGAAGCTTCGTTAAAAAGTTATTAACAATTAAATTCAAAAATTTCAAATCGTTCTGGAAAAATTATTTTCGGTTGCGGGGGTCAACTACAATCATTTTTGGTGAGTACACATACCTCCGAAATCCTATCTACTTTCGAGAAAAAAAATCGAGTAGGTGCTGAAATTTTTCGGCGAAAAAAAATTTTTCAAATCGTTTTAAAAAAATTATTTTCGATTGCGGGGATCAATTACAATCATTTTTTATTATTACACATACCTCCGAAATCGTACGCACTTTCGAGAAAAAAATTCCTTACTGAAAATCCAATTAGGTGCCTTTTTTCAACGGAGAAAACAAATTTCAAATCGTTGTGGAAAAATTATTTTCGGTTGCGGGGGTCAATTACAATCAGTTTTTGTCATTAGACATACCCACGAATTCCTGCCCACTTTCGAGAAAAAAAATAGAGAAGGTGTGAAATTATTCGAGAAAATTAAAAAATTGCAAATCGTTGTGGAAAAATTATTTTCGGTTGTAGGGTTCAATTACAGTCATTTTTGGTGAATAGACATACCCCCGAAATCTTGCGCATTTTCGAGAAAAAAATTCAGCAAGGGCGGCACTTTAAACGTTAATAACTTTTTAACAAAGCTTCCACCAACAAATTAGTATTCTTGATTTTCGTCTTATTTTGGCCTCTACTATCGCTCATTAAAATTTTTGCTACAGGTGGCCGAACACCCTGTATAAACTTGATTCAATTTTCTAAATGTGTAAGTATAACCAAATTTGTACACGTTTCGTCGTTCTTTCCATTTTTGTATAACTATTGTATTTTATTAATTCTTCCCCTTACTCTTTACTTGTTTCGAATGTTGATTTTATTGATTTTTGTTTGTGATCATTTTATCTGAGAATTTCTATTTTTTCTCCCGTATTGTTACACTTTGTATCCAACTGTGAGAGATAAGAAAGAAAATAACGATTTGTTGTTATTATTTCAGCGACGAAACGACACGCCATCACTATTATCTGCAACCGTAGAATAACGTCGTCAAGCATGGCGTTGAGATGGACAACCACCATGCTTCTCCACACGAACCATCGATCAGTACGTCGCTGCTCCTACTCGTGAGTCTATAAAAGTTGTATTCGTTAAACGTGAATAAAATTTGCCCAACTCTGGCTTGTAATAGGCAAGCTCGAGTCGTTGAGTCGATAATTCTAGGTCTTTGCCTCTTGGTGTGAATTAGTTAGGGGGTGAATTAGTATGCTTGTCATCTACAGATTACAAATATGTGAAATGAAAACTACAGAAGATAATCTGGTGCTCATTGTTTTATTTTGATGCACAGTTCTATGGCATGAAAGAATTTTGTTTGTCAAAAAATACTACGCTTATAAGGGGAGGGAGGTGAGGAAGTATTGCGAAGACTGCAACTGTCCTCTTGAATGTTTCTGAAAAGAAACAATAAGATGTGCCTACTTACCTTACCACTGTTCATCGATTCAAGAATATTGATTGTCTCATGATAAAAACAGGACGTCCATATCTTGGTCACTGGAGGATAGGCAGAATTTTAACTAATACACTATAAATATGGATCAATGATGTATAACATTAAGTGTTTTTTTTTATTATTCTCTTCAGCAGACAAAATATATTAGGTTGCTGTATGCTGAAGAATTATTAATACGAAGTATACTATATTCCAGAAGACACAACTTCTCATACAATTAGAAAATAATTGTAATAACAACATACTGTTACATTCCGGCCCGTAGCATGGAGAAACACGCCATAGAAGATTTTACAATCTGTTTGGAACAGAAATCGTTGAGAGTATTTTTTTATGTCTTTCACAAAACCAATTAATAGTTAATCGAGACACACACAAACAGTACAAATACAAGCATCATATAAAAAGAATGGCAACACGTCATGAAATATACCATCGTTACTATCGTTTTCTAAATTGCTATTTGAGAATGGTTGTACTCACCTCGGTGAAACCGAACAGCGAAAAAGTATAAAATTTCCCAGCAGTGATGTACATCGTTTTTTGTCCATTCATCATACACATTAACAACGCTTTTCTTTCCTGGCTGTTTACTTCTACCCAGCGAACATTATAGAATGCGTCACCCAATTGTTGGGACTAACGTATATTACCGAGTTAATATCGTTACAATAAAGCCACGAGCATTTCATGGAATTAGAATCTTTTGCACGGTATTGTTTTAAGACGATTTTGAAGTTACACGGTTTCGATTAACACGATTTATATAGAGTTGTACGATTTTTTTAAAACGATTCCCGTACGTACCTCGTATACTACTTGTTCGCCTATGTAGGAAAACACGTATAAATAGGCACCAACAACAAAGGTATGAATCATGAAATTTATTGAAGCTGCCATGTCAACGTCGAGTTTCTGAAAAAGTAACGCATATATATTGTCAGGAAGTTACAACGATTTATATCGAAATCATTTCAATAGTGTTTTAGAAAACCAAAACGAGCAACGAAGTCATTTTCATAGATTCATGTTACTTGTGTAATAAATTCTGAAGTAAACTCTAAAGTATACCAACAGACATTCTTGCAACACAGTAAATTTAACATTTTACATACTAAATAAATTTATTTACTTACGATTAGTACGAAGTATAACGACAAGCTCAATCTGACACCACAGCTCATGAGTTCTATCAGAAGCATCATATTGAAATTGTTGTTTAATGTCTCATAATACCTGTAAAAGACTTTTTTTCGACAAACTATTCTCGAACCGTTGCAGTGCCAAATACGGGATCAATAATAATTCTAATTCGTCTTGTACAAGGTCTAATAAACGATTAAATTGTACACGAAAAAATTTTAATTGTAATTAAAAATGAAAAAATAACGCATCAGAAATACGTACTTACTCTCTCACCTCCAAATGCATGATCACTGTTTTTCTGATGCCATCTTTGAATGATTTTGTTGAATCCACTTGAATATTTCGTATACGATGGGCGAGTATCGATACTTTCGCGCAGCAGTGCAGAGCCAAGTTGACTATTAAACCTACTTCCGCTATATGGATCATCGGTAACATACACCAGTAGAATTGGTAGACGTACACTATTGCATAGCGTGATGGTGTCCTGTAGTCGAATATCATATGACTCCGGAAAGGCAGACGATAAGCAAGGCTACCATTAACTGTGAGAATATACGAAGAAATACATGTTTAAGCGGGGAGATTTGTGTAAACCGCTAAAACTAAGATTTTGGGTATTTCTTTTCTTAGGAAACAATTGAATAGATCTTTTCGAAACGTTTACGATTACTGAATATCGAGTATCAAGTATGGGGCCTTATACCAGTATTTATTAATTAATGAATACCTCCTTTAGAACCATGCATTTCTATTAAAGGACGGATATACATCGGTACAACTGTAGTAAACGAGACTAATGGGGCGTATCTGCAGAAATTATAAGAGATGGAGTTGTAGTAGTAGTACAAACGCTTCTCCTCGATGTTATCGTACAGCTTTTCTCTTTTCATATCGTCTCTCATCGTTTCGATTATCGTCTTCAAGTCATCGCCCCGTTTAGCTACCACCAGCATACCGCACAACGTCGAAATCGTTAATATACTTTCCAATAAGTTGTGCACCATGTGGTCTTGAATGCCTATATAGTCGATGAAATCCCAAATTCCTAAAACTATGTGCACGGTATAGTACACCACCGAGAAGGTGAATATTATTTTATTGCGTTTCTTGGGACAGATACCGGTACACCGAAAAATTCTATCGTTCAAAAGTTGCGGGTCTCTGATTACGAGATCGTCCTTAACCTACAACGTGCAAATTGTTTAAACAATTTCGAGATGTATGGATCTACGGCAGTACTGAGTTGTAACATGGGACAATCGAATTTTTCGAAAACTATTCAGAACCATTATCAAAGCCATTATATCATCGTTTTAAAACATGTTGGATTTTTCAACAAAATGTTATTCAACGTTGTTCTTTAGTACTAAAATGCGTAGAAATTGGCCTACGAATTTCTATACAAATTTACGTAAAGGGAGAGTGATTCGATTGTATTCAATTTTTTAAATTCTCCACGTGCAAAGAAATTACCATTCCGCTATTTTTTTTTAATTCATCAAGAATTTCGTATGTTACAACCCAATAGAAACGATTTGTCCTCTCACTTTCATCACTTTCTGTCGTGTGTTACTCGACTATTGAGTTCAGACAGTGGTCGCGTGACTGCGAATTTCGTTGGAACATGGTTAGCTGACATCAATCGATGAACGATAATTTCTTGCAATGATCTTGTCATGAATTATTATTTTCTCTACGAAGGAAGGACACTTGAATTTCTCCGTGCGACGCCCCCGTAACCAATTTGCCATCGGCTATTCTGTTTCTTTCCACAAACTTAGTATATAACTATAGATATTACTTCATATCTTCAGCGCATAGACAGCGTCGCATTTATCGGTAAATGTACGTGATGTTGTAAATTGTTGCATTATCTATTGAAAAGTTCTGTCGTTTCCTCGACCTATGTATATTTATCTGGTATTCGAAACAGTACGCGAACTGATACTTTTATTAACCAAACCTGGCGTATCAAAGTAAGAGAAATCTGCAAGATTAGTTTCGCCTTTACGCTGGATGCTCGACGGGAATTAATTTTTAGCGGATTAAATGTATTCGCGATGTTGCATACGAATTCCAGCATGATGCAATCGAGATTTCTGCGATCGATAGTTTCACCGATATTATTGGATACGATAGTGGCTTCGAGTGCAATCACTGTGCTACCACATTTAAACTTGATTCAATTTTCTAAATACGTAAGTCTTACCAAATTTGTACACGTTTCGTCGTTCCTTCCATTTTTGTATAACTATTGTATTTTATTAATTCTTCCTCTTACTCTTCAATTGTTTCGAATGTTGATTTTATTGATTTTTGTTTGTGATCATTTTATCTGAGAATTTCTATTTTTTCTCCTGTATTGTTACACTTTGTATCCAACTGTGAGAGATAAGAAAGAAAATAACGATTTGTTGTTATTATTTCAGCGACGAAACGACACGCCATCACTATTATCTGCAACTGTAGAATAATTTCGTCAAGCATGGCGTTGAGATGGACAACCACCATGCTTCTCTACACGAACCATCGATCAGTACATCGCTGTTCCTACTCGTGAGTCTATAAAATTTGTAATTCGTTAAATGTAAATAAAATTTGCCCAACTCTGGCTTGTAATAGGCAAGCTCGAGTCGTTGAGTCGATAATTCTAGGTCTTTGTTTCTTGGTGTGAAGTGGTTAGGGGGTGGATTAATATGCTTGTGATCTACAGATTACAAATATGTGAAATGAAAACTACAGAAGATAATCTGGTGCTCATTGTTTTATTTTCATGCACCGTTCTATGCCATGTAAGAATTTTGTTTGTCAAAAAATACTACGCTTATTAGGGAAAGGGGGTGGGGAAGTATTGTACAGACTGGAATTGTCCTCTTGAATTTTTATGAATAGAAACAACAAGATGTACCTAGTTATCTGATCACTATTCATCGATTCAAGAATATTGATCGACTCATAATAAAAACAAAGCATCCATATCTTGGTTACTGGAAAATAGGCTGAATTTGAACTAATACACTATAAATATGGGTCATTTCTATACATCATTACGTGCTCTTTTTATTATTTTTTGCAGCAGACAAAATATATTAGGTTGCTGTATGCTGGTGAATTATTAGTACGCAGTATATTACATTCCAGAAGACACAACTTCTCATAAGGTTAGAAAATAATCGTAATAACAACATACTGTTACATTCCGGCCCGTAGCATGGAGAAACACGCCATAGAAGATTTTACAATCTGTTCGGAACAGAAATCGTTGAGAGTATTTTTTCATGTCTTTCACAAACGAATTAACAGTTAATCGAGACACGCACAAACAGTACAAATACAAGTTATCGTATTTCTGTGCTTCATAGAAGATATGTCTAATTGGAGAAGTTTATCGTAACTCGGTTTGAAAATGTTACAACGACTTTAATATTTTGTTACATTTTTTTTAAGTTTTAATTGAACCGGGTCTTTTTTTAATCATAAGTAAATTAAATTTAAGTCGAGTTTCGTTGTGTTTTTTTATTATATTTACAATTTTTATAAAGTGTTTCCAACTACGAAGCTTCACAAATTATCGACGACGAAAAATTAAACTTACGAGACATATATGTACACTTATGGACAAAAACAAAGCATCTTATGTTTATTGTATCACATAACAATAATGGCAACACGTCATGAAATGTATCATCGTTATTATTGCTCTCTACATTGCTATTTGATAAAGGTTGTACTCACCTCGGTAAAACCGAACAGTGAAAATGTATAAAATTTCCCAGCTGTGATGTACATAATTTTTTGTCCATTCATCATACACATTAACAACGCTTTTCTTTCCTGGCTGACTACTTCTATCCAGCGAATATTATAGAATGCGTCACCCAATTGTTGGGACTAAAGTATATTATCGAGTTAATATCGTTACAAGAAAGCCACGAGAATACACAGTTTGCCAACAAAATCAAATTTTATATGTTTTCATGGAATTACAATCTTTTACACGGTATTTCTTTAATTTAATTTCTTTAATTTCTTTAATTCTTTAATACGATTACACGGTTTCCATTAACACGATTTATAGAATTGCACGATTTTTTCAAAACGATTACCGTACGTACCTCGTATACTACTTGTTCGCCTACGTAGGAATACACGAATAAAAAGGAACCTACAACAAAGGTGTGAATGACGAAATTTATTGAAGCTGCCTTGTCAGTGTCGAGTTTCTGAAAAATGATATAAATAAAAACTGACGCATAAATATTGTCAGGAAGTTACATCGATTTATATCGAAATCATTTCAATAGTGTTTTTGAAAACTAGAACGAGCAACGAAAAATGTCGGGAATAGACTGTCTTACATGTATTGCTTCGTACTAATTTATATCAACGTAACCTTTCAATCTTTTGTCAGAAGTTAGAATTATAAGCTGCATCTTTCAAATATCCATGCAGTTTCTATGTAACGATTTGTTTACGCAGTTTATGCATTCTCGTAAATTCATTGTATTTGTGTAAGAAATTCTGAAGTAAACTCTAAAGTATACTAACAGACAGATTCTTGCAACACAGTATTCTCAACGTTCAACATACTAAATAAATTTATTTACTTACGACTAGTACGAGGTATAACGATAAGCCCAATCTGACTCCACAGCTCATGAGTTCTATCAGAAGCATCATATTGAAATTGTCGTTTAACGTTTCATGATACCTGTAAAAGACTTTTTTCGACAAACTATTCTCGAACTGTTGCAGTGCCAAATACGGGATCAATAATTCTTATTCGTCTTGTACAAGGTTTAATAAACGGTTAATTGTAAAAAGAAATATCTGTGGGTACTTTGGATCTTGAACTTGGCCCGCGACAAAATTTTAATTGTAATTAAAAATGAACGAATAACGCATCAGAAATACGTACTTACTCTTTCAGCTCCAAATGCATGATCACTGTTTTTCTGATGCCATCTTTGAATGATTTCGTTGAGTCCACTTGAATATTTCGAATACGATGGGCGAGTATCGATAATTTGCCGCAGCAGTGCAGTACCAAGTTAACTATTAAACCTACTTCCGCCATGTGGAGAATCGGTATTACACAATAGTAGCATTGGTAGACGTACACCATTGCATAGTTAGACGGTGTCCAGTCGAATAGCATATGACTCCGGAAAGGCAGACGATAAGCAAGGCTACCATTACCTGAGAGAATATACGATGAAATACATGTTTACGGGGGGAGATTTGTGTAAATCGCTAAAACTAAGGTTTTGGGTATTTGTTTTTCTTAAGAAACAATTGAATAGATCTTTTCGAAACGTTTAAGATTACTGAATATCGAGTATCAATTATAGGGACTTATACCAGTATTTATTAATTAATGGATACCTTTTCTAGAAGCTTGCAGTTCAAATACAGGACGGACATACATCGGTCCAACTGTAAACATCGAGAATAATGGGGCGTATCTGCAGAAATTATAAGAGAAGGAGTTGTAGTAGTAGTACAAACGCTTCTCCTCGATATTATCGTACAGCGTTTCTCTTTTCATATCGTCTCTCATCGTTTCGATTATCTCGTTCAAGTCGTCGCCGCGTTTAGCTATCACAAGCATACCGGAAAACGTCGAAATCGTTAATATACTTTCCAATAAGTTGTGCACCATGTGGTCCTGCTCGCCTATGATGTCGATGAGATCCCATATTTCTAAAGCTAAGTGCACGGTATAGTACACCACCGAGAAGGCGAATACTATTTTATTGCGTTTCTTGGGACAGACACCGGTACACCGAAAAATCGAATCGTTCGAAAGTTGCGGGTCTCTGATTACGAGCTCGTCCTTAACCTACAACGTGCAAATTGTTTAAACAATTTCGAGATGTATGGATCTACGGAAGTACTGAGTTGTAACATGGGGCAATCGAATTTTTCGAAAACCATTCGGAATCATTATATCATCGTTTTAAAACTTGTTCGATTTTTCATTAAAATGTTATTCAACGTTTTTCTTCAGTACTAAAAAGCGTAGAAATTGACCTACGACTTTCTATACAAATTTCTTGAACAATTCTTTCGCAAAAGACGAGGATGAAATACGTTTGTTGGGCGACTTATGCTCCCTACAAACTTTATTGTTTACGTGTATTTATTAGAAAAAACAAACTTCTTAATTTACGTGAAGGGCCAACGATTTGATTGTATTCAATTTTTCATTTCTCCACGTTCGACGAAATTATCAGTCCGCTATTGTTTCTTAATTTATCAGGAATTTTGTATATTACAACCCAATAGAAACTATTGGTCCTCTCACTTTCATCACTTTCTGTAGTGTGTTACTCGGCTATCGAAGTCAGACTGTAATCATGTGACTGTGAATTTCGTTCAAACACGGTTAGCTGACCGCAATCGATGAACGATAATTTCTTGCAATAATCTCGGCATGAATTATTATTTTCTCTACGAACGAAGGTTGCTTGAACTTTCCCGTACGGTGCTTTGTAACCAATTTGTCATTCTGTTACTTTGCACGAACTTAGTATATAACTATGGATATTACTTTATATCTTCTATGCGTAGGCTGCGTCGCATTTATCGGTAATAGCGCTTGATATATTCCTTGCATTATTGGAAAGTTTCTTCATTTCCTCGACCTATGTGATTTCTTTGTCATTTGAAACCCATTATTCAAAAGTCACTGTTATCGAACCGGGTATTTTTATTAACCTTACCTGACGAGTAAGAGAAACGAAGAAGGTGGAGTTCAGATTTATTCTAGAAGTTTGACGTAAAACATTTCAGTGCAGACGATGCGTACGCGACTACACGAGTTTCACGAATTTTTGTGGGGAACAATTGCAACTTCTGAAACTAAGAATCCATATAATATCTCGTCTTGGTGTTTGAGGTCATATTAAACGACATTTCTTTCAACTTTCATCAGATCTTCATCAAGTAACAAAATTTATTTTAACTATAATCATTGTGCTATTGTATTTAAACTTATTTTAGTTTTCTATGGATTTCGTATAAAAATACATATTTCAAACGGACAAACGAAACCTTAAAGATAGATTTTAACACTAAAATAATTTAGTACCATTTGTTTGTAAGGATTAAAAAAGACTGTATCGAATAGTACGATAAAAATTTTAGAATTCCATTTAAGAAAACAACGCATGAAATAATTTGCTAATAATAACTTGAAATCGTTGTTTAACAAAATTTATTTTAACAATAATCATTGTGCTATTGTATTTAAACTTATTTTAGGTTTCTATGGACATTGTATCAAAGTATATATTTCAAACGGACAAAATGAAACCTTGAAGATAGAATTTAACACTGAAATAATTTAGTAAACTTTGAAGCAACCTAACTCTTGAATTATTAGGTTTGGGGCTAGAGTACCATTTGTTTATAAAGATTAAAAAAGACCGCATTGAATAGTACGATAAAAATTTTAGAATTCCATTTAAGAAAACAACGCATGTAATATCGTAAGGAAATAATTTGAGAATAATAACTTGAAATCATTGTTTAACAAAATTTATTTTAACAATAATCATTGTGCTATTGTATTTAAACTTATTTTAATTTTCTATGGACGTCGTATCAAAGTACATATTTCAAACGAACAAACGAAACCTTAAAAATAGAACTTAACACTAAAATAATTTAGTAAACTTTGAAGCGACGTAACTCTTGAACTATTAGGTTTAGGGTTAAAGTACCATTTATTTATAAAGATTAAAAAAGACCGCATTGAATAGTGGGATAAAAATTTTAGAATTCCATTTAAGAAAACAACGCATGTAATATCGTAAGGAAATAATTTGAGAATAATAACTTGAAATCATTGTTTAACAAAATTTATTTTAACAATGATCATTGTGCTATTGTATTTAAACTTATTTTAATTTTCTATGGACGTCGTATCAAAGTACATATTTCAAACGGACAATCGAAACCTTAAAGATAGAATTTAACACTAAAATGATTTATTTTTTAAGCGACGTAACTCTCGAACTATTAGGTTTGGGGTTAAAGTACCATTTATTTATAAAGATTAAAAAAGACCGCATTGAATAGTGGGATAAAAATTTTAGAATTCCATTTAAGAAAACGACGCATGTAATATCGTGTTCCATATCATAATTAAATAATTCGCGAATAACAACTTGAAATCATTGTTTTGTTTATTTGTCCAAATGCGCTGATTCGAATATTCCACCACTTTATGGCGACGTAGTTGAATGGGTTGCGCACAGATGGCGGTCGTTGCTGGTCCCTGCAGTGGAAGCGTAAGTATAAAGCATTCGCATGACTTTCGCTCGAGATGTACTCTCGAGTTATTAGGTCGTTGCCTTGAGATATGACAAAGAAAATCGTTTGAAACTGGTGATTGTTAACTTTGAAATGTGTGACGAGTAAAGTACGTTTTCTCTGGCGTATAATGTGCACGAGGAACGTTACGCTCGACTCGGCTTGCAATGAAGTGTTCGGTGTGAAACACGAAGCCAGATAATAGTTTAGACGATAAGAACGAAGTAAACCTTGATCGATACTGCAAAAATGGCTTGTGAAACATACGACAGGGCATGTATTCATGTTTGTACTTTTTCCTTGTTCAGTTGGCAAGACGCTTCAGCGCGGTGTGGTTATGCGAAAAACTAAGATGTCGCGTAGCGTGTAGAAACGATTGGACAACGGTATTCGTTGAAAACAGACATTGTTGCGACTCCAAATACGAGTTTGCAGTAAGTATTGTGCTATTTTATCATCTTAAAATTACGCGTTAGCCTCGTCGAGCCGCTTGTTAATTTGAATTATTTTTGTCAAGAAACGGGTTATCGGACAAAATTTGTTATTTGTACTACCCAAGTTCAATAAAGTGTCAAAAGTAATTTAATAAAATCTGACGATTAATTTTGTTCCATTTGTATTTATTACCATTGATATTAACGATACTGCGTATCGATGATTAAAATGTTACTAACGACAAACCAAATCTGCTGTTCGCACGATTGTTTCGACACTTGGTCACTCGTTACGCGGAGTTTATTGAGAATTTCGTGTCAATCCTTTATTAACCTTTTTAGTATCAGATCGTTTGATCCATTTAGTAAGTGTTCGAGCAACGAATTCGTGTCATTCGCAGTTACACGTGTATTAAAACAAATTAGATACCGGACTTTCCTGATTGTTTTTCAAACGAAATGAATATTTAAATCGTCGCGAGGGCAGTAATTAACGACAGTATTTTATGTAATCTCGGTCTATTTATTGCCGTAGCTCCGCGACTCTTTCGGTTCTGTATTCGTAAATCGATATTACCGCTATGCATGCGTATCTGTCTCGTGCAAACGTTTATGGTACAAAAGTACACTGATTGCACGCAAGGTAACAATCGTTCGAGGATAATCGACGGTGTAAAAGTAAATAATCCAATCGTTATTTTCAACGAAAGCGAACGGAAACTTTTCCGTTGACGATTTCTCTTCGTTTCAACATTTTGTCAAATTTCTTACCGCTATTCCGTCGAGCGTATTGCATTGTTATAAATTACAGTCGTGTAACAAGCTATTTATTTTTACGCATTGCTTCGAAATTTACAGTTTGCAAATTTTTCATTTATATTTCTGTAATAATTCAAATCATGTGTGTTGCATGTAACTCGTGTTTTGCTCGATTGAATTTTCGTAACCATCGACGATTCGTTACAATTAATTATGGAAAGTAGTTTTCTATTTAACAGGTACACGAATTTATTCCAAAACGACACGATGGATTAGAATTAGAGATGTTTGAATTATTATGTTGGTATTTGCCAAGTATTTTGGTGCTAGGAATAACACTAAAATATTGCTATTTTAATAGAATTGTCTTCTGTCTTGTTCAGCTTATTTAATAACAGAATTTCAAATGAAAATTTTTTAAAGGCATAAATTTGAATCGAAGCGAATTTGGAATAAAAAATGGTCGTTTCGTTGGGTTTTAATTGGATATTCACCGATATTCAAAGACGTTATACCTTCCTCTTACATTTTTTGATCTTTACAGAATTGATAAAAAACAATTTTTTGAAACACTTTTTAAGGGGCCTTTCTACTTTGTGGGATTAAAAAAATTGAATTTTTTTGCATTTTTTTTTTAGCATGTAGTCTAGAAAATATGTCTAGCAAATATTAAATTGAAATTCTGAAAACTGACGAAGTTATAGCCTGCTGAAATGTATAGCGCGCAGGTATAACAACTGGACGTGAAACTTTAAGGCTGTTTTTCTCGAAACTGCATTTTTCGACATTGGGTAGACGATAATATGAAAACTATTCAAGATATGAACATGAAATTTATACAGTATCTTTAGAACTAGTCTCCCTATAGTACGAACTAGGATAATTACGATATATGCAATACTTTTTCTTTTATTAACAAAAAAGCAACCGAATCTATGAAAATATTCAGTATTTCTTCGAAAAATAGCTGCCATTTTGCCATTTTTTGCTTTTTTGAAAAAATCCTAGTTCACGATATAACCATACTCATCTACATTAAGAGTATCGTTGATTTTTGGATTTCGGATAACTTGTTTGCAAGATATCACATGTACGCAGTCGGGCGTCGTTCGTAAAAACTGTTGTTCGTTGATTAACAAAAACAGCGTAATCAATAGAAATTATGGGTTGCAAAAATTCGTAAATATAGCTAAATATATAATAAATGTATCCACAAAATACAAAATTAATCACTCTTTAATAAGCCGCAAAAAAAAATCACAAACATGTATTTTTCGTGCCTACAAGGTAGAATGGCCCCTTAAAGCCTACGTTCTCTAACGATAAGTATCTCTTATCTTGTTTAAAACAAATTGATTTAATTGAAATCAGTAACTTATTCTCCATTTGACACGCAGGATTAATTTTGGCGTGTGATGCGTGGAAAATATTAAATTCTACGCGAAACAATATTTCCCAATTGATACGAGCAAGCGAGGAGACGAGAAATTGAGCAGGATTGGTGGATAGCCAAACGGCGAAGTAGTAGGGATAGCCCCTCGGTGAACTTTAAGCGATCGATTGATATTGTCTGTGCCTAATACGTTATGCCATAAATCATCGTGAAATAACGTACTCTCAATCCTCTTGACTGCGCTCGAAAGAATTGCTCTTTTCGTTCTTCGTCGTTCGTACTCTCATTGATTCTCGTTAATCACTAACATAATTTGTAATAGCCAACTATTTTCATAATATTAAAAATTAATAAAATATACGAACCCCAGTTTTCCGGGTCGAATTCTTCGACGTTAACATCGAACGAAAAAAATAAAAAAAAATACAAATAGGACGAACAATGTACAAAGAAAAAAATTGAAAATGTAACATCTATCTTGTTTCTGGTTCCGAATTGCTGTTACTTTCTTTCTGTAGTCGCTATACTCTCTGTTGGTTTAAGTGGGTCAGAGTAGAGCCAGGTACGGTTGACGAAGGCTTAAATAATTGGAATAAGAATGAAAATCTTATTCCGTGTTGAAAATGTACCGAGCATAAAGAAAAACAACTGTCCTGCTTATAATTATTCTATTTTTGCGATATTTGTTGCTACATCGATTGCATGGAAAGTAGAAAAGAGTACAAGTTATTGATATCTACCCATTTGCTTGCAATCTGCAAACAGTGTCTGTTTGCCATACAGTCGGTCGCGTCACTTATTTAGACATTTGTGTGCAAAAGTCCGTTGACTTGAGCTCTACTTAAAATAGACTACTCTATTCGTGTTATAAATCCGTCATGTAATAAACACTGATAAAATCTCAGAGAAAACAAGCTATCTGTCGGTAGCATTTTCAGATTCAGTACAACGTGCAAAGTAAACTATAACACGATGCTTCGTAGCAGAACTTCTCGAATTTTTTCTTCACCCGAGTCCTCCATTTATGCATTAAACGTTTCTATATCGGGATTCAAATCCAGGAATTTTACAAGAAAAAGCAAATATACGAATCAGAATTGTTTATTTAATTGTGTCTGGGAAAAATTTTAATGGGGGATTCTAGAGGCCAAAATAAGACGAAAATCAAGAATACCAATTTGTTGATGGAGGCTTCGTTAAAAAGTTATTAACAATTAAATTCAAAAATTTCAAATCGTTCTAAAAAAATTATTTCTAGGTTCTGGGGTCAAATACAACCATTTTTGATGAATAGACATACCCCCGAAATCCTACCCACTTTCTAGAAAAAAATTCGAGAAGGTGTGAAATTTTTCGGCAAAATTAAAAAATTTCAAATCGTTCTAAAAAAATTATTATCGGTTGCGGGGGTCAATTGCAATCATTTTTGGTGAAAACACATACCTTCGAATTCCTATCCATTTTCGAGAAAAAAATTCGAGAAGGTGTGAAATTTTTCAGCAAAATTAAAAAATTTCAAATCATTCTAAAAAAATTATTATCGGTTGCGGGGGTCAATTACAATCATTTTTGGTCATTATACATACCTCCGAAATCCTATCCATTTTCGAGAAAAAAATTCGAGAAGGTGAAACATTTTTCGGCAAAATTAAAAAATTTCAAATCGTTCTGGAAAAATTATTTTCGGTTGCGGGGGTCAATCACAATCATATTTGGTGAATAGACATACCCCCGAAATCCTACCCACTTTCTAGAAAAAAATTCGAGAAGGAATGGAATTTTTCGGCAAAATTAAAAAATTTCAAATAGTTCTGGAAAAATTATTTTCGTTTGCGGGGGTCAATTACAATCATTTTTGGTCATTACACGTACCCCAAAAATCCTACCCACTTTCTAGAAAAAAATTCGAGAAGGTGTGAAATTTTTCGACCGAAAAAAAAAATTTCAAATCGTTCTGAAAAAATTATTTTCGGTTGTGGGGGTCAATTACAGTAATTTTTGGTGAATAGACATATCCCCGAAATCTTGCGCATTTTCGAGAAAAAAATTCTTTACCGAAAATATACCGTGTGGCCGGAAATGTTTCTGTAACTTTTTAACGAAGCCTCGATCAACAAATCCTTATCCTTGATTTTCGTCTTATTTTGGCCTCTAGAATCCCCCATTAAAATTTTCCCCAGGGTAGGTCGAACATCTTGTATGGTTTCGCTAGAGTAGATATTAAACGAGTGTTCTAACGTTTGCCTATCGAACAATTAATTTACGTGGAATCTTTCCATTTGACATAATTGAAGATCAGCTTGAAGTGAATGCTTCGTTAGCTTTAAGTTACACCTAAATAGACGAGAGTGGAATAAAACGGGATTGAAACAGCAATGTTTCCCTCGGATAAAAGCTGTTAATGAATTGCTATCGTATGACAATGTCTAAACGGTCCTCGACTCCACACAGCAGTTCGTCATCGACCATAGACCCGCGTACACGTTATTTTTTCATTGTCAGTGTCGGAAAAAATTTCCGGTATCAAAGCTTCGACTTGGATTCAGAGAATTTACAACAGTAAGTACTGCATCGGATTCCGTATATTAATTACACTGGATCTTAGCGTTTCACTCGGTTCTGTATCTTACGCTGATGTGCAAATATTAAATGTTTACTAAATCACCTCGAGCGGAGCGAAAACGGAACGCTTTAACACGAGATAAAACGTAACAAATGGGGATGAAACGGAATGGAAATGTTTTTTAGTGCCTTCGTTTATTTGCAATTATTAGATTATAGATCGAAGGTTTAATTGCTAAGCTAATTTCCAAGAAAATTGATTTTGTGTAGCAAATTATGATAAGTA